ATACAACAGAAGATACAATACAACAACATTTTGCATGGCTTGAACAAACAAACAAAAATCTTTCTTGCAGGCAACTCTGAGCGCCGATCATCGGATAAAAGCGACCAATTGACAAATTCATCTTACAATCTTGAAAATAACAAACAAAACCAAAAATGCATTCATTTAACAAACAATAATAATTCGGCAACAACACCAGGTCTGTGTATATTACAGCAAAATCTCTCTTTTACCACTCTTTAATATCCTTCAAAAAAAAAAAAAAAACAAAACTACCACATATAAAATCGAAATTGTAGAGAAATAAAACACCAAAAATTGCAATGAAATATGATTATGCTTCCCCATAACGCAGTTTCCGTTGTCCAGTCCAAAAGCTCACCTGCAACACCACTCACCCCGATCCATCCAGACTGTACATACATAAGATAACGGTTATCCTCCAGAGCAGAGCAGAGCTTTTCCCATGCTCCTCCTTCTGCTACTTAATCCTATGCTATGTCGCACATACACGCACCACCCACGCATAGACACACAGCAACTCACACACACCCACAAACACTGCCACGCCACATGTACATAAATGTATGTATGTATGTTTTGAATGCTATATGTACTTTTAGTCGTTGCACAACACTTTTGCATGATTACTGTCACTAGGGAGGTTGGGAATGGAATGGAATGCTTAATTCCTATGATTAGTGCGTCAACTTCATTGATAGCTTATTTTGTGTTTAGTTGGATATGTACCATAAACATATACATATATACAAACTATATCTCAGGTGCATGCATGTCGTGTGGTTCCTAAAATAAACACCTGAGGAAGGAAACGCACACCACATCCAAATGTACATAAGGATTTGTGCGTGGCTCTCTAGTATTTAGTCTATATTGTGACAATTGAAGCGACAGACGCACTTGAATCAGTTTTCCAATTAAAACATGTGTACATACGTCAAGAATGACCCACCTCACACCCCACAAGAATGTACTTAATCACACAGCCTTGTTGGAGCTGTACGTGTCCACCCATTACCCCCATTCTTGGATTTTTTTTCTCCCTCGATTTTTTTTCCTGCATTTTCATGTCGTGCGTCTTTTGATTAATTTGGAAAAACATTCGAGGGTCCCTTGTAGCGTGTGCCGCTGGCAACAGAAAGTAAGAAATTTTCAACCTAAAAAATATGGCTACTCCGCCTCCAACCAAACCTCGCACACTCCGTGCACCCCGCACACCCTTCACCATGCCATGGGCATGACGGCAATAAAATAAAGAAAGCTTTAATTATATTTTCGGGCCAGCGTTTTGATTATTATTTATTTACGCGAAGACGACGACGACGACGTACTGCGGGGGAAACTCTTTCTTCATGGGTTCTATTTTTGGGCGGCGAGCGGCTATTTATAAGTCCGACACCGCCACCATGTCTCACGGGGTTTGTGTGTTGTGTTGATCTTCATGTCATGTGTGTACTTTAGGTCTCTTCTGCACTGCATGTCTACCAATCAGTCCACCTATTCAGCGCACACCCCAACCACCAGCCACCAGTGCCCAGCCCTCTCCGTTTCTCTATCTCTCTCTGTATTTTCCCCCCACTTTGTTTATTTGAGATTAAAGATACACCTTAGTGACCCTTGCTACCCTTATCTTATCACACAGATCGCGGTGGGAATGATAGCTCCGGGAATGAGGGAAATGCCGGATATACCGATGGTCAGAACTCGGATCCACAGAACAGTCCACCGCGTGACAAGGACTACATGCGGATGCAGCAACAGCTGACGCCTGTGAGCTCGGTGGCCACCAGCATGGGCAGTGCCCCCGGAATGGTGACACCCGTCCAGACCGAGAAGCGTTCGCGGCTGTTTCGCACATCCAGCAACACGCCAGGAACAGCGGGAGCTGTGGGAAGCAGCGGTGGACCTCCCAGCAGTGCGCAGAGTGGCGGCAAGCGGAAGCACACTTTGAGTTTGAGTGCTGAGCCCAGGTCCGTGCTGGAGACATGCCTGTCGCCCACCAATGTGGAGCCGCGGAAGCTGCTGCTCGACCAATTGAGCCGCGTATTCGCAGGCGAGGACAATGCCATACCCGAGGTGGTGACCATCATCAGTCCCCCCGAGGCCCTAGGGGGTAGCAGTCTGTTGGCCAAGTTGGTGACGCTCTTTGCCAACTCGTTCAAGCCGGCCTTTGTGCCGCAGAACACCGCCGAGGTGAAGGCCGTCTTGCAGGCGCTGATGGCCAAAATCCAGAAGTAGTAAGTAAAATGTGAAGTAGCCACAAAAGCAGACGATAATTCTAATCTCCTTTCTTTTGCAGTTGCAACTCGAACGCCAAGCCTCCGCACACGGTCAAGGTGCTGCTCATTGGCGGCGACTGGCTGCAGGGCGCCACACTGCGGCATTATGTGGAGCTGATGGGCGTCCGTCCGCCAGACTGGCTCAACCATTTGCGCTTCTATCTGGTGCCCATAGGCGGCAGCTGCGGCAGTGTGGCCCGCCACCTCAGCCAGATGGATCAGGCATATGCCGCGATGTTCGGCTCCGAGAACTGGATGCAATTGTGCGAGAGAGCGGCGGCCACAGCGGCGGCTGTAAGTGCGGTGACCACCGTAAATGCCACCGCTCTGACAGCTAATCTGGCGGATGCGGCAGGTGTGGCCAAGTCGGACATTGCCGAGTTGGTGCAGCGCATTCAAAGATATTTGCATGCGGCCGGACCGTGCACCCAGATACCCATTGCTGAGGCCATGGTCAACTACAAGGACGAGGACTCTTGCCAGATCTTTGTGCCGTTCGTTAGTGTAAGCTCAAAGCATGGAAACACTTCTTCCCAATCGATATTCATATATAATTTGCCATTTGTAGGACGTACGCATTGGATATTTGGATGCTCAGGCCTCGCTGGATCTCGAAGAGAATGCAGCTGGCTCGAATGCAGCGCTCTCTGCGCTGAACTCTTCATCCGCCAGCAGCTCGGCCATACCCATTGGCAGCCAGAGCTCGCCTAATGTACATGGCGCCGTGTCAGGATCGCCGCCGCAGCAGCAGAGTATGGGACGCATCTCACCGCCGCTGCAAACGCCACCGTCTTCGGCCTCGTCGCATCGGGATCGCAACACCAGCGAGTCGCTGAGCACACCCTCGTCGTTGCAGCAGCAGTCATTCAGCGGTGCTTTGGCCGCCGTGGAGGCAGTGGAACTGCAGGTGGACTATTGGCCGCTGGTGCGGCCGGGCGAGACGCACACGAAGGAATCGAAGGGCAGCACATCGAAGGGCAGCGATGCCGGCGGTGGCAAGAATAGCATTAAGAGTACGTTTAGGAATCTGCAGGTGTGGCGTCTGCCACAGCATGCACAGCAATTGGGTGATATGTTCCATGGACTGACTGTTAGTTTCGCCACCAAGGAGAAGAAGCAGAAGCAAAGTGAGCAAATCCTAGCATTGATTTTGTTTCCCATTCAACTTACCTATTCCAATTCCCATTTTAGTTATGCGTTTGGGCAAGAAGAAGGACAAGGAACGTGATCTCGAGAAGGAACAGTGCGTAGAGGGCGTGGCACGCCTGATTTGCTCACCCAAGCAATCGCATCCAGTGCCACTGCGTGGTATGTTAATCCCTACTGATGTAAGAGGATAATAATTTCATTTGAATTCCGTTCTGTATTCCGTAGTTTATATCGATGGCACGGAGTGGACTGGCGTCAAGTTCTTCCAGGTCTCGTCACAGTGGCAGACGCACGTCAAGAACTTCCCCATAGCACTCATCGGGTGCACACCCATGTCCTGTGCTGAATTATCCTAGTCATTTTAATCCTCAAGGGCGCTCACATGGGATCACACACCCGGTGAACCACAGAGAGACACTAAAACACACAGACACACACTGATCCCCGAACCCCACATCCCTCGTGCATGGCTAGCACTTGCGCGGCAATAATTATTATCTATTATATGTACACTGAAGAAGAATGATAATTTATTTTATAATTAGAATTTGTAAATTTTTAGTTAATAAAACCATTTAGAATGTACCATTTTCTTTAAGTTCATTTCCGCATACAAATTGTGAATTCAAGCGATCCCAAACCAACCTCCCCCCGCAGCCACACAACACAGAAGCAGACAGACAGATGGACATCCCCCCCAGACACTCAATTTATTAACTAAATGACAAGCTTCAAATGGCTTAATTATAGAAAAAAGAACAACGCGTATCAAAATATCCTGTACAAGAACTAAAAGAAAAACCAAAACAACAAAACTAAAGAAAAAATTCTTAAAAACTTAACTTTGTAGTTGGCGTTTCAAGAACTTCTATGAACCCTCGTGTTGCTCTTGCCCGTTTGGCATGTTATAGCAGATAGCCTTCTCGACCCCGACCCCCAATCAATCCCAAACATAAACCGCAGGTTGGGTAACCGTAACCCCTTTGGGAGATCTCACAATCTTTGAACCCGAAGGCGGCTCTAAAAAAGTATCTAAATGTTATGCAGCCTACCAACTACTTGACATACATATTTAACCAAGCCCGTCGTCTATATACTACCTAAATCAGAAATATCTGTGTGTGAAATTATATACAATAAATATATACGAGTATATAGTATACCTATCTAATCAAGCATATACAAAAACCATGTGTGTACTACTCTTATTGTTGTGATTTTTTGAAATTTCAAATTGTATTAGCGCAAGTTAAACAAAACACTAAGTTTATTATGTGTATGTGTGAAGAGTATACAGCGAAGATACATCAGGCGCGATAGGAGACAGTGAATGTTGGATATCATATATGTATATTATAGTAGATTCTATCTACTACCCTTTCCAACATCCCCTACCCCAGCAAAGGCATTCGCATACCCTTTCCCCTTGTGAAGTAGTTTCAAAAAAAACAATTCGTCTGCGTGTTTTTCCCCCCAAAATCCCAGAAAGTGTTTGAACTGAATGCTAAGTAGGAATCGCTTGCGATTGCGTTGAATAGAGTGCAGAAAGCGTTTGCGAAGTGAAAATATTGTAAGGCGTGTAATTTATAAATGTACTATTAAATATATGTATTAAAGTTAAATACAACACGAATTCGAGTCTTTATTTAAAGGGATGGTAATCGGTCAAACATTATCATCGCACATGTAGAATCTGCTGTGGCAGGCCGTTGATTAGGATGGCGCGCTTCTTGAGACCCAGAGAGCCCGCCAGGCCGCCTGGTGGCTGTATGAACTCTAGGTCCGGATAGCCCTTGGGCTACAAATAACAGAGAAAAATGAAAGATATGAAAGTGTCCGCGTTGATGGAGTTACATACTTGGGCAAACTCCCGCAGATTGGCGTTGCTTTCGCTCAGATCGTCCAGGGACCAGACAGCCAAATTGCGAGTCTTTCCATGACGTGCCAATACATAAAACTGTAAAATAAAACCAGATTATAGCTTAATGGATATCAGAGAGGTTTCCATCCACTCACCTTATCGTGTGCATCCACTAGGTAGCCCACAATGAGTGCCCAATGGGCACGGTGTCCAGTCTTTAAGCAAGGCGCATGATTGACATCAGCATCGTAACTTTCATAAAAAATTTATACAAGATTTAAGGATAAAACCAACGAAATATGTATTTCAGAAGAAACCTCATTGAACGCACAATCTCAAGTGATTTTTATTTTTAAATACAATTCGTATAAAATTCAGGGGATCTAAATAAACAGAATAGAACGGGCTAGCCAACCCTCATGGGTGGCGATACCAGTATAACGCCATCTCCTCGCACAAACAGCATGGGAATGGTGCGTTTTGTGGTCTTGTAAACCTCCTCGTACGTTTCTTCGTCGATCTCCACCGTGGTGACGGTCTCCTCTGCATCCCCCAGCACCATATTCAGATGCTGATCAAAGGCCTAACGAACAAAATATAAATTTGAGCTTATGGTTATGGTTATTAGAGTGTGGCAACGTACATGCAGGCGCCCTCGCAGCTCCCGTTCATTGCGCATCTTCACGTACACCTTTTCGTCCAAGCTCAGGCGAATCAGATCCAGCGGCTCCTTCACCGGCAAAATTACCTGACTAAGCTGAAAGTACGCGAATTAGAGATGCTACATTTCAATTTGTCCCTGCTACATACCTGCTCCTCTTCGGTTGCCATTTTAGTAACACTTTTTTGTTAATTAATCAAGGTACAGGAAAATATTCTGTACAAATTGCTGTTTGCTGTTTACGATATTTTAGCACTAAAAAACACCACAAAGCATGTGCGCAGGCTGGCAGCACTGCGGCTGTTAACGCAACAGCGCTGTTAACGCAATAGCGCTGTTAGCCACCAAATACTTCTCGAAATAGCCCGAACCGGCTTAAAATTAAGATTTTCTGTTATAAAAAAGGATACGGCACAAGCAAGCAACCACCAGCTTGAAGAAGCTCTTTGACCTTGCTGCAGCAGAGGCGACCCTCGTGCAATTGACAGGCACCAGGTCCGTGTCCGTCGAGATGTTTGCGCGTCAATTCGTATAAATATTGAGCACTGAACATTTCACCATTGATTGTGTACTCCTGTGCAATGGCATCTTCTAGGATCTCTGCTGCGCTGGGGTGTCCATTGAGCAGCATACTCAAGGCAGTCAAGCCACATGTGGGTCCGACCTGAAAGGGCGATCAAAGGGCATGAAGGATATGCAATTGTACATGCATATGTAGTCCTCCATTGCCGCCATTTGACTTACTTGTAGTATACTGGGCACGGAATAGTATTGACACTGCTTTGGTGGGGTATATTGGCACACACGGTTGAGGTAGCATCCTTTCTGCAGCTCTGGATATTCCCAGGCCCAGCCACATTCGTCCCCTGATATATTAATCACAGCTGGGGGATCTTTGGTTGCCTCTACTGGTGCAGCAGGGTTAATACCTGATGGTAGTGGGGGTGGTGGCGGCGGGTCAGAGGTTTGAGGCATTGAAACGAAATAAACAAAATTATACAAGTGGTCAAGCTGTTGACAACATTTTGACAGTTCTATGTTATCACAACAGCTGTTTTTATAAATGGTGATGGCAAAAATAAATAACTGTATCAATATTCGATATATCAATATCGGATACTTATCCGATCTTATCCATATTAAATTGCTCTGTCTTAATAATGATTGTTATTTATATAAATGTCGCGATATCCGAGTAGATTGAATACACAATACTACTCCTCTAGCTCTTATAGTCTCTGAGATCTAGACTTCCTTCTGGCTGTTGTACCACTAAATCTCACACTGATCTCCTGGTATAAAGATTGAAACAATTAGATTTTAGCTTATTGGTGTACTTGTTTATTAATGATTTTGAATTTTTTATTGTATAAAGTAAACCGAAAAAGAAACGCATAAAAACTGATTAATAAGTGGAATAAAGTACATACCAAATACACGCCATATAGTATTACGAATATGTATTATGAAAAAACAAGGAGCAATTTACATAGAAACTATATATTGTACGAGTAGGATATATACCAGTAACATAATTATCTAATCAAAATAACTCTCGATTCTTATGCAAGTGTGGGTGATTGTTTTTGGGGTACTGAGCAGATTCGTATCGTTGCCAAATCGATGCGAAAATGCAGGGAAAAGGGACATAAATTTATGGGTTAATTTACAGACAATAAAAAGGGTTTTCGTTTTATTAAATTTACAATCACAAGATTTTGTTATTTGCTTCGAAGATACTTTTGTTATTATATTTTCAATGGTGCGGTGCCGCCTGCCTGCCGTTTTGCAACGCCCAGCAGCTGCTGCGTGCATTAAAATTTGACTAATTAAATGGCAAAAATAGTACTAGGAGAGGCGGACACATGCATATGAATATGTTGTTATGTTATGTAGTTATGAGTACACAGAGCATACTTATTTATTGAACGTTTACTTAGAGTGTAGGTAGTAGAGACGGGTTGTGATAGGTAGTTGGAAGTGCGGGTGGGGGGAGGGGCCATTGCCAGGGGCCCTTAAAACGAGTCTGCTGATGCTGATCTGTACTTCTGAACTTGTTGTCGTCCTAACAAATAATTAATTACTATGCTGTTTTGCTGAAATTGTTTTACTTAATCATAGAACACTTTCTGTCGTCTCGTTCTCCTTGTGTGTGTGTGTGTGTGTTTGTTTGTTTTGCTTTTCATGTTCATAATTATGTTGCAAATATTATTTTATAATATAGATTGTGTAATTATCCACGTTGCGTTGTTGTTGTTGCTGTAAATACATTAGCACTGACAGTTGTCTGGGTTTCCTGGGCGATTATTTTGAGAATTCAAGATGATCTGATCGGGAAAATCGTTGATAACCTCAGCCTTAAATGATACAATTGGTTAAATCTCGATTGTAAATTGAAAATTAACAGCACGAGTGTGCGCACCCACCTCTGCCTCCTGCTCCAGCGCATTCTTGGCGATAGTCTGAAACGCCATCTCCACATTGATGCCCTCCTTGGCTGACGTTTCATAGTAGGGTATATCGTTTTTGGACTGACACCATTGCTGTGCCCGACGCGTGGACACTTGGCGGTTATCCAAGTCCACCTTGTTGCCAAGCACAACGAAGGGAAAATGCTCGGGATCACGTGGACTGGCCTGTATTAAGAATTCGTCCCGCCAGGAGTCGAGATTCTTGAATGAGTTGGGCGCCGTCACATCGTAGACGAGCACACAGCAGTCAGCGCCGCGATAAAAGGCCACGCCGAGCGATTGGAAGCGTTCCTGGCCAGCAGTATCCCAAATCTGCAAATATGAATCGCATGAATTTCATTCCACATGGAGAATGATTCTCTCTATCAGCTTGCTTACCTGCATTGTGACCACACGGTCGTTGACCACCACCTCTTTCGTACAGAAGTCGGCGCCGATCGTTGCTTTGTATTGGTTGGAGAAGCGTTTGTTCACATACTGATTCATGAGCGAGGTCTTGCCCACACTGCTGTCGCCCAGTATGATGACTTTCAGCAAAGATTTCTTACGAGTGGCCATTTCGGTGTATTCTCTGTAGGCGGTTCACTTCCACTGGCTCTCTTAAGCTTTGGCAATCGCTGGAAAATAAACAAGTCCAGAATATCGATTGGACGTTAAAAATAAACAATGGATTTCATCATGTAATTCGATTACGAGCGGGCGGACGGATTGGTTTGGCTCTCAGCCCAGCAACAGCTGGGTTGGCGTCGCATCAATGGACCTGTTCAGCAACGCAGACAACATGACAAACCACTGATAGGAACAATCGAGCGTTGGAAGCGTGTTGATAAACCAAAGGCCAATGGATGACTCACATCACTTTGCTGGTCATTCAACATGAGCGATCGTTCGGTTGTGATACTGCGCGTTTTAGGACAAGGGGGATAAGCGGGCACCCGCATCGCAGCGTACAATTTTGATCTGGTTTATTAGCTGGCAATAGTGCACATCGGAGAAAGTGTGACGCCAGCGCAAACAAAGAGCAGCCATGACGAGGCCACTGCGTAATCACAGCAGCAGTGGGTAATAGAAGGAACTTTATTCCCGAGAAGGGAAAACGCCCATTCCGAGTAAGTCAGGAGGGGGAGTTACTATTAAGCAATCGAAAAATAATACAAATGGATTCATTTCGGTCAGTGTCAGTGGAGATATCAAATACCACCCCATACCGCCCGATGGACCCAACGAATTACTTGTTTTTGTCTACCACTACAATATCAATTGCAACTGCCGTTGTGTGCCTATGTGTGTGCCTTTGTGTGTACATTCGTGTGTATGTTTGATTGGGGGGCTCCAATGGCATTTTCCATGCATTTTTTGCCTGCTGCGTAACACCATTTTACACATGTTTTCGCCTTGCATCTAAGGTTTTTCGCACTTTAACTTACATTGAACACAGTTACGTTACGTTGCACAGTCCGGGAGTAATGTTTTTTGCTGTGGTTTGGCTTGAATTTGGTGAAATATTTAATTAATTACGCAGCGTAGTGAATTTTGTTGTTGTCGTTGGTATGCAGTGTGACCGTGGATTTATCGATCAAATATACCTAATTTTGTGGCAAGCCTATGTATAATACCAAAAAGTGTAACCAAGTGTTTGTACCAAAGGATAATTAGTTTTGTTCAACACTGCCACCTCTATCGAAAAGCCAGCATTGATAGATATTTTTGCTATCGTCAAGGGTGTTGAGTTTGAGTTGAATTTCTGTAGATATATTGGTAGATTTAATATCAATATAAGCAGCTTGGAAAGCATAATTTTTCCATTAATTAAAGGAATGAGAGTGTACTAAGGCCCTTATTGTACTAACGGTTGACAAGCAACAAGTAGTCAAATACGTAACAGGCTTACGTTTTATGCCAATTTATTTCTTATTTTCTTTGTCAGCTTGGACTTTAATTTGTAATGAAAGGAAGTCATAAAAACTTGCCAATCTTATGGAGACTTGATTCATCAATCGGCTAAAATTATTGTTTTAGCCCTGAGGATCCAAACTAGCTGTGCAATATTAAATGGAATATCAAAATTTATGGAATTTTCTTATTAGATTCGGTATATTAACGTATATTTAAAAAATGAGAAGTTATATTTCGGTATTCTTAGGGTCACTCGGTATATTTTATCGATAAATCCGCGGTCTCACTGTGTCCAACAAATCCACTGAATTTTATTAAAATTATAACTGAAAAACTTTAAAAAGAAACGGCCTAGTCGTGCCAACCACGGTCTTTCCTCTTGCGACAATAGTGGGCATAAAAATAAAGATGGCAACGCTACCGCCCCGTAAGAGTCAGACGCCAACACGGATATGCATCTCCAAGCAGCATTTGACGCCGCTTCAAACATTGCTCCAAATGGGCTTTCCACGGCACAGAGCGTAGGTTTCCATAGCTATCCAGTTGTGCCAGCAAACACCCCAGCCTTCCACCGGAGGCTGGGCTGCTGTGACTGGGATTTGTGCCGCAAACAACGGCGGCAAGCAGAGGGTCGGGTATTGATTTTTTTATTTACACCCACAGAGAGAAAGCTTTGGCGTCGACAGGGAACCGAGGTGTGCAAATCGCTTCGGACTGGCTGTTGGCTCATGTGAACGACGCCTCTTTAGATGAGTGCGCCCCACGCGAATACATCATATATGCATGTCCCACGGGACCATTCCTGCAGCAGTTGGAGGAGTTCTGGTCAAAATCACGTCAAATGTGCGGCTGGAACGGTGCCCACAACTACGTGCCCCACATCACACTTGTGTCTTTCTTTAAGGTGACAGCTTATGGGAATTTGTAGTCCCATCAGATATAATTAAAGGCGTTGTTCCCCCACCAACAGGCTCCGGACGAATGCTCGCTGCAGCTTTCAAAGGCTCTGAAGCAAGTGGTCGACATGACGGGTGCACTATTGGATCGCCCACTCAAGCTGGAGCCGTATATGAGCCAGAACTTTATGGGCTTCTTTGTGGCCGAAGAGGATGCCAACTATCTGAAGCGTTTGGCTCTGCAATACGTCAAGGAGGTGTCCAACTCAAGTATGCCCATGTGGTTATGTTGGTTGCAGTTGCACTCTCTTTGGGTTGTTTTTGTTTTGGCTATCCTTTTACGTTCCTTTGGTTCGGTTCGGTTCGGTTGACTCTCCTCCTTCCAAGTTTCGGAGTGGCTTAAGGTTATGTTCTTCTCTTTTCCTGCCTACCCACTAATCGTTGGCAATGGATGGCACAGTCATTAGCGATACGTATGAGCAGCTGGACGCCATTGTGGCCTGTTTCCCCTGGTGCGGAGCGGTCTCCTCGGGCACCCGCTGCATACCACGCAGCAGTCGATGTAAGCTCTATAAGTATTAGTATCTAAAACGCTTCCCCAATCACCATGGAAAAACTCACACACACTCCCTCACACACATATCTCCATATCTATCTCCACACACTCACCCGTAGAAAGTAGAGATAACTTACTAATCTATATAGGCTGATGACAGGCGGTGTTCGAAGCAAACCTCGTCATGACTTGCCAAATTGGCATTTATGTATATATAAGAGGCACGCTGTAGCTGAAATTTAGTTATTGATTGTCTTTCGTAGCGTTCGGTCACGACACTAATTGCCTCTGATTCCCCGTAGCCATCTCACTCGAGCCCCACGTAAAGAGCCTGCACCTGACGCTCGCCTACCAGTTCCCGCAGGCACAATTCAATGCACTGAAAGCACTCGTGGAAACACTAGACGCCGGCTGTGCCTCCAATTGGGAACTGCGCCTGTACTCCCGCGATCCACGGCTCGCCACCAAACAAGTTAGAGCGCACCTATAGCCACCCGCCCAGTAGACTTTAATGGCCAAATTGTTTTATTGCAGGTACAGAAAGTCGTCTATCCGCACAATCCACACGAAACGGATGAGCTGGAGCTGCGCATTGGCGACTACATCTACTTGAACAGCGACGTTGTCGACAGCTCCAGTGACGGCTGGGCCGAGGGAATCTCCTGGCTCACTGGCAGCACGGGTCACCTGCCCGTCAACTACACCGAACGCACTGCCGAATCAGACGCTTGGACCCTGCATCGCGTTGTCCAGCTGTCAAAGAGTGTCGCCTCCTCGCTGACATCTGCCGAAGATCTGGACATTGTGGACGGCCGCAGCATATCCACAGAGCCCGAGGAACGTCGGCGGCAGAGTATGTAATTCAGTCACAAAGTGAAAAGAGACAGAACCTCCAGTTTATTGACACTCTCTAATCACACTTTCTCAGTTAAAACTTTACTTATTTGTCACTTGATTATTGTATTGTTTTTGCTAGGTACTTTACATCCCGAGATAATTGAGGGATCGTCGTTTGAAGAGTCCGAGCAGAGCGTGGAGAAATACTTGCGACAGACGCTAAAACCCTGCCTGGAACTGCCATCGGTGCAATTGCTAAACAGCCACAACTTGAGCCATCAGCACAATCCGCACACACCCACAATTGAGATAACGACCAATATGTCTTCCTGCTCCACATCGATGTCCAAGCAGGTGGTGGACGAGATTCTTGTGGAACCACCGGCAGCGCAGCCACCACGTCCCGATGACACGCTCAGCGTCCACTCGGATCACTCGATGCATCCATGCTCGCTGGATGCCTCGCAGACGAAGAACCGCAAGGTGTACATCATGCGTCATGGGGAGCGAGTGGACTTTACCTTCGGCACCTGGATCCCCTACTGCTTCGATGAGTTTGGCAATTACATGAGGAAGGACCTCAATATGCCCAAGACCCTGCCACGTCGCAAGAACAGCCCCGAGGGCTGGCAGAACGATTCGCCGTTGACCAATGTGGGTGTCTTCCAGGCAAATCTCATCGGACAGGCTCTGCTTGAAGCTAACGTTCAGGTCGATCATGTCTACTGCTCGCCCTCGTATCGCTGCATTCAGACGTGCACCAGTGCCCTCGAGGGCCTGCAGCAGAGCGGACAGCACAAGATCAAGCTGGAGCCGGGCTTGTTTGAGTGGATGGCCTGGTACCCCAGCGGTATTCCCGACTGGCTGACCAAGAGTGAATTGATTGAGGCCAAGTACAACATCGATTTGGAGTATGAGCCCGTACAGCCCTCGGGGGAGCTGACCGCCAGCCTCAAGGAGTCCACAGAACAGTTCTATACCCGCAATCACGATGTTCTGCTGCAGCTTCTGGAGCGTACAAGTGTGTAACCAAATATTTTTCATTTTTGTCTCTATTAATTTGGAATTTTTATCAAATTTTCTTTTAGCTGGCAATATTCTTGTGGTGGCTCATGCAACGACACTGGACACTTGCTCACGCCAGTTGACGGGTGGAGCTCCGCGGAGCACCAACGAGCTACGACAGGTCATACACAAGATTCCCTACTGCAGTCTGGCCACTGTGGAGCAGGTGGATGGCGTCTGGAAGCTGGTGGAGCCCGAGTGCCTGCCGGTGACGCACTCGAAGAACCCGAGATTCGAGTGGAATGCCTTGGCGACCACCTAGTGCCAGTGCTTGGAGCAGTTTCTATGCAAGCACTGAGACTTGATCGAGCCTATCGAGAAAGAATTTTAGCTCGCTTTTGTCTGCTTTTGTCCGCTCGAACATTGAAGGTGCAAGAAAAATTGTTTTGTGACTGCCATATACATAAAAACAAATAAGGAACGATACTGAAAGCTATGTAGATATGGAATTCAGTTTTGTTGCGATACAATAATGCATATTAAACATAAATCAATAATGCTGCATTAGCCAGTTGAAGGGAATCGAATCAAGAGAGGCGAGACCCAGTACTTTATTGCAATCAATATGCAAACCAATATATATTTACGCAGAGTATGAATACCACTATATCCCAGTACTTTTTGGAGCAGTAGCTCAACGCTTTAGAAACATGCAAAACATATATAGTTTAGCTTGCCCTGTTACTAGTTTAGTTAGATCACTCGTTAAGCCTTTGCTGCGTAGCGCAGTGTTTGATTAGCAACCTAATAAATGCCAAGAGGCAGAGTTCTTACCATCAACACAAATGTTGAGATTATATCCATACGTAAATCCTCCTATATCCTATACATATATAGTCTTTATATATCGATCGTATCGAATAGTTTTAGAAGTATCTACAACATAATGGAACAATAAACTATACAATAATACATTTGTAATGCCAAATTTTCCACCCACCCAATCCAACTCCACATAAGTAGAACAGAAATCCACGTGAATATTGATCGCAGTGTCTTGCACGACTCTGAAGGGGTCGATTCTTTATTTATTGCGCATAGAATTAGATTAGTAATGTAATTTGTTTTAGTTTTTTAAATCTATTAATATAATTGCTGAACGTTTTGTTTTTACTTGAATTACATATCATCTGCGTTTTGTATTCATTTCGGTATTCGGTAATTTATATCCCAATATATATATATATATTTTTTTGTTGTGTGTGTGTATGTTTGTATCTGATTGGAAAGAGAAAAGCAATAAGAGCAAAGGCCTCAGGCGGGGCGGGTAGGGGTCACAACATTAATGAACGTTAACTTTAAACTTAAACGAACTCCGATTACAAAGATCTTAAAGAATACGAAAATATGCAAAACATTGAATTTTTACTTTAACGTTTAAACATTTCTAATGGATCCGCACCGCTCGTGGGGGCAGGCGACTGTTAAGTATATAAAGCATTTAATTGTAATATGTAATTAAAAAAGAGCGACAAAGTAGAAGCTACTTGAAATCTTTTGTAACTGTGTGTGTGGGGGGATGAAACGTTTCTTTTTCGAAATAAAGAGCTAAGAACTCTGAAGAAGCGAGCGGGCGCCCAGCTGCAGTGTGAGCGGAACTCCAATGGCACCCTGGCTCAATTCGAAGGCCAGCAGCAGCAGCAGCACAACAATCACCACGCCCGCCCTCAGCCAGGATCATTGCCTCGCCGCCGGCCTGTTTAATTGTTAGCACTGCACCTTGCCGAACTGTCCGCTGCGACGCTCCAAGTGCTCGCGGTATTCCTTGTAGTGCATCTGGATCTCTTGCGAGCGATAGCGAGTGAGCTTGATGGACTTGCGCATCTCCTGGGTGATGGCTGCGCGATAGCCGCCCTTACGCAGCAGCGAGTCAATGGTCTGCAGCTGATCCCAGCCCTGTTCGGTGGCCACCTGCGGGAGATAGGTGGCAGTGCGCTTGCAGCCGCGCTCCGTTAGAAACTCGATGCGAATGCCATGGATGCCGAGCTGCCAATCCAAATGGCCCTGGGCTTCCTCGAAGTTCTGCAGAATAGACACGGAGACCGTCAGCCTGGAGAACTCATCTCGCGAGATGGGGGCAAAGCGAGAGTCCTTGAAGGCGCTGGTCAGAGCGTACTCACGCAGGCCGTTGTGCAGCTCCATGGCGCTGAAGGTGCCGATGCAGCCACGCAGTCGCTTGTCGCGGCCGATCTTCCAGGTGACAAACAACGGATAGGCGTCGTTGCTGAACATCGGCACCCCCGGCCCATCGATGTTGTTCAGCTCGCAGTCGAGCACCTCGAAACAGAAGAGGCACATATCCGGCACAGCGACGCTCTTCATGCCATGGCCGTTCGAGTAACGCTGCTGATGCGGCTGATGGACCATCTGCTGGTGCTGGTACTCGTCCCCATTGCTGCTGGAATGGTGCGGCTGCTGCTGCTGCTGGTAGTTGTTGTAGTGGTTGGAGTTGGACATTTCCTACTTGCTTACTTTTGTTACGTTTAAATCTACTAGTTACGTTAATATATATTGTATATATTTAGGTATACAGCTAATGGCAGTGCACGTTGATGATCTAAGTTCAATTAACATAAGAGAACAGCCGAAACGAACTTCATTCACCTAACAGACAAACCAAAACGCCAGCCAAGCGTGCCTCTCTCTCTCGTTCACTATGTCGCGGGATCGCCCTGAAAGATAAGCCCTATCTCATAAGTTTCAGCTTACACGATTGACACTGCTGCTGCTGCCAATGGCTTACCTTCTTCTGTCGTCTAAAATAGGTCACCTTCCGCCCACGTGAATGCAGTTGCAGTTGCCTTTTCCCTTTGCCGTGGCCGTTGCAATTGCCCCCAATCAAGTTCCTTTTAGCTATCTGCTACGTGTCGCTGTGGGCTGCGCGTCCAGATCCAGACATCGGCCTGTCCCCCGCGTGTTCCTTGGCTGCCGTTTTGACTGCTAGCTCATAAGCACAACATCGAATTGCAGTCGCCTCAGATGCGTCAGCGTGTCTGCCGTCTGACTCTGCTTCTGCGAACGACGGACGAGAGGAAAAACAAAATTGGTTTTCAATCAATTTCCAATTCACTTATGCGATCTTCACCTTTCGTTTCACAATAGACTATTGCCGTCTCATTGCCCTGCAGGCTGAGAGTGAAGGCGGGTGTGTGGGGGAGAGAAAGCAAAAGCAGCAGTGCTGCAGTTATTCCGATTCTTCTCCGTTACCCCCTCTATCTTTTTAATTGCTCTTTGTTCACATTGCAGCACATTGCCATGGCCGTCACCCCACCCCTCGTTTTGGCGCAGCAAGCTCACACCCACATGCACACACAAGGGCTCTCGATCTGGGGGCTTTGGATTTGCACTACAAGTGCTCTTTAAATACTCTCTTTTACCTTTTTTTAATGTAAACAATTTTTTTTACAATTTTTAACGAGTTCAGTGCGAACTAGAGATGGGGGCAGTGTGACCGCGAAAGTATCGATAAAATATACCGACAGACCCTCAAAAATATACCAAAATATACCCTTGCATCTTCAAAATATACTGTAAATATACAAACAACTCAATTTCGTGGTCAAAGTGTATCCTGAAAAGTATATAATATACCTTAAAAGGTCACCCTAAATTGGGGTCCGAAAACCAGGGCCTCCTCTAACTACATATCACAGTGCTGGAAAACAAATCTTGTTGTTGAATTTCACATCTGTTCGTTAGCATAGAGCTGCAAACAAATTAACGTTCTAGAGAGTGTTAATATCGAAACAGTGAAACAGTTTAGTGTTTCTAGAGTTGTTCTTTATGTATTTGTTGTTCATTTAACTTACTATTATCCCTTCCTGGCAAGGGGAACTATTCAGCCCTGGGATCAAAGGTGAAGGAAAAACTATGATGTCGATACTATCGATAGCGTCATTTATAGTTCTGCAGCCCTAGGGAACAATAACAAAGTTTTCGTGTGCAATTGTTGAATTTTTGTTTGTTAAAAAGCCAAAATGGCCTTGGCAAACGTTCTCCTACTCAGTCAGATCGCTGGCCATGTCATCCTGTTCATACTGTCGCTGTGCATTGTGGTGCCGCTGTTTATAAATCTCGATCAATTCTGGTATACAAATGCGTAGTATATCCCTCATAAATGATTAACAATATCGCTTTGTCCACCCACAGTGGGCACTGTCTTCTCTTTACGACGGGCAAATGGCGCGAGGAGGATGGCATGTTCGATGTGAATTGGGCGTCAAATGGCTTCTGCAACTTTCCACTGATTACAGGCTTCTTCCTGCTCATCATATCAGTGGTGCAAATATATCGGTATGTACATACCTACTACCTTTCCAACTGTCATGGGAAACTTCACCGTCTGATTCATTGCTTTTGTCAATCAGATATGCACGCATGAAGGAGGAGGCATCGTTTATTGCACTGTTCATTGATGTCGTTTTGGGAATTTGGATGCTGGCTATGTCAATTCTGTCCGCCATATTCATTACCCTGGGCTTCATTGTCTGGTGCGACGGCATGACCGAACGCTTTCCGTCCTGCGAGATTTCGGCTGGTCAGAATATTATACGCGGCGACACGGAGAAGATTAATACCTCGGGTTTCTACATTGAAATGGGCACCACACAGGTGAAATCTTTTGATACCATAATCCAACGAACTTCCCTTATAACTTTTCTTTGTTTTTTGTAGTTTGGCGCCTGGGGCTCATTTGCCATTTGTGTGGGCATTGGCGTCATCGCCTTGCTGAAACTCATCGACAACCATCAAGTGCGCAACATCAAGGTTTCCATGTACCTGGAGCGACAGCGCCTGGTCAATCAGCAGCAATTCGATGGACGATCGACGCCCCCCATTGTCTCGAACGCCTCCTCCGATTCGGATAACAACAAATAGTTGACATTGGAGACGAACCAGCAGTTTGTAATTCTCTATGTATTTCTCATCATGTGCGTAATAATCATAGTGTGTCACTTAGTCCTCGTTCTTATCATAGAGGTGGACACCAAGCAGCGGCACACCTATTCCCCGATTTGCATGTAGTGTTGTGCCCAGTACTAACTAGAGATATAATTTCTATCGTTTAAGCCACTTACGTGATATGTATTGTATATATTTATATGTATTTAATCGAATATTCAATATAGCCAAATAAATTGAGTAATATTAATAAATCACAGAGAAGCCTGGAATGAGGTTTCAGTGAGGTCCCTCCGAGATTGTCTCAGACTCTTTGAACCGATTGCCTGCATAAAATATAAGTTAGTCAAAACAAGTCTACATCGCGACTATTTGAAGAGCAAGTACATGAATATATTTTGAATCGTAAGGGAATAAATACCGCTCCTTACGATTTTTGATTAAGTAGATCAAAAATGGATGACAATTTCATTATTGTGCTATCTAAAAAATACTAGCAATCGAGTGTGCGAAGTTGGATGCATCATTAGCAATTGCGTCTGCAGCATCTGCGGCATTATTGGCAATTGTATCTGCAGCATTTGCGGCATTATTGGCAATTGTATCTGCAGCATTTGCAGCATTATTGGCAATTGTATCTGCCCCATTTGCGGCATCTTTGGCAATTGTGTCTGCAGCATCTGCGGCATTATTGGCAATTGTTCCTGCAGCATCTGCGGCGTTATTGGCAATTGTATCTGCCCCATTTACGGCATCTTTGGCAATTGTATCTGCACCATTTGTGGCATCTTTGGCAATCGTGCCTGCAGCATTGCTAGCATTATTGGCAATTGTATCTGCAGAATTTGTGGCATCCTTGGCTACTGACTTGGCACCGCCAGTGGCATCCTTGGCAACAGACTTGGCAGCGCCAGTGGAATCCTTGGCTACTGACTTGGCAGCACCAGTGGCATCCTTAGCAACAGACTTGGCAGCACCAGTGGCATCCTTGGCAACAGATTTGGCATCTCCAGTGGCATCCTTGGCAGCGCCAGTGGCATCCTTGGCAACAGACTTGGCAGCACCGGAGGCGTCCTTAGCAACTGACTTGCCAGCGCCAGAGGCATCCTTGGCAACAGACTTGGCATCTCCAGTGGCATCCTTGGCAGCGCCAGTGGCATCCTTGGCAACTGACTTGGCAGCACCAGAGGCGTCCTTAGCAACTGACTTGGCAGCGCCAGAGGCATCCTTGGCAACAGACTTGGCATCTCCAGTGGCATCCTTGGCAGCGCCAGTGGCATCCTTGGCAACAGACTTGGCAGCGCCAGTGGCATCCTTGGCTACTGACTTGGCAGCACCAGAGGCGTCCTTAGCAACTGACTTGGCAGCGCCAGAGGCATCCTTGGCAACAGACTTGGCATCTCCAGTGGCATCCTTGGCAGCGCCAGTGGCATCCTTGGCAACAGACTTGGCAGCGCCAGTNCTGCAGCATTTGCGGCATTATTGGCAATTGTATCTGCAGCATTTGCGGCATTATTGGCAATTGTATCTGCAGCATTTGCAGCATTATTGGCAATTGTATCTGCCCCATTTGCGGCATCTTTGGCAATTGTGTCTGCAGCATCTGCGGCATTATTGGCAATTGTATCTGCAGCATTTGCGGCATTATTGGCAATTGTATCTGCAGCATTTGCAGCATTATTGGCAATTGTATCTGCCCCATTTGCGGCATCTTTGGCAATTGTGTCTGCAGCATCTGCGGCATTATTGGCAATTGTTCCTGCAGCATCTGCGGCGTTATTGGCAATTGTATCTGCCCCATTTACGGCATCTTTGGCAATTGTATCTGCACCATTTGTGGCATCTTTGGCAATCGTCTCTGCAGCATTGGTGGCATCATTGGCAACTGTCTTGGCAGCATTAGTGGCATCCTTGGCAACAGACTTGGCAGCGCCAGTGGCATCCTTGGCAACTGACTTGGCAGCACCAGAGGCGTCCTTAGCAACTGACTTGGCAGCGCCAGAGGCATCCTTGGCAACAGACTTGGCATCTCCAGTGGCATCCTTGGCAGCGCCAGTGGCATCCTTGGCAGCTGACTTGGCAGCACCAGAGGCGTCCTTAGCAACTGACTTGGCAGCGCCAGAGGCATCCTTGGCAACAGACTTGGCAGCGCCAGAGGCATCCTTGGCAACAGACTTGGCATCTCCAGTGGCAACCTTGGCAGCGCCAGTGGCATCCTTGGCAACTGACTTGGCAGCACCAGAGGCGTCCTTAGCAACTGACTTGGCAGCGCCAGAGGCATCCTTGGCAACAGACTTGGCAGCGCCAGAGGCATCCTTACCAGAGTTATCTACGCTGTCGACGCAGGTGCAGGTTGTAGTCTTACTGCTGGTAACCTTATTGGTGGACTGGTCAGTACTGACAACGACCCTATCAGTTGCGGAATTCTAAAGAACAGATGGGAGAAATGATTGCAAACAATACTTTAAGGAGAACAAAATATTCACTAACCGTTGATGAAGTGGAATCAGCTGAAGCGGAAGAAGAGCTAGAGGAAGACTACAATGAAAAAGAACATTAGATCAGCATTCTCCAGGATATATTTTATTTCTCTACCAGTAAACTCACAGAGGACTGGGCCTGCTTTTCCAGAGAACCAATTTCAGCACTGCCAACTTGTTCCTAGCAAAAACAAATAATCTTGTGTTTATAATTCCCAAGTATAACATTCCGTTGACCTACCGCTTCCTGGGATACTTGGTGTCCAAAGTTAATGGCGCTGTTGGAGGCCTCCTGTCCGAACTGGGTTCCCTCGTCTCCCAATTCATGGCCAAACTCTGAGGCAGCCCGACCTAACTCATTGTCGAACTGGTGCTAGTGAAACAATGTACAGGCGTAGCATAATTTCCGATGAATCTTATATTCCATAGAAGGATAACCTACCAGAGAACTGGACAAGCTCTTGGCGCTGGTCTGCTGTTGACCCAGCAGTGCCACCACAAACAGCAGGCATACTATGAACTTCATGTTTGAATATTGGTTTTGTTTTTTAAACTAAAGATATTCTAGAGCTTTGCACCCTTTATATACCGAAGAAAGAAATTGATATAAGCTCCGATATGAATATCTATACATTTGGGCCATGGGCAACGGGAAACGGGCAGGTCGGGCCATGACTTCCCGTCTGGTCAAAGTTCTTATCTAAGGCGTCGGAGTGATGGATCCGTTTAAGAACCAACAACAGAACTATGTCCTAACAATTGTTGTTTATTTGAAATCAACTAAAAATTTTGCAAAGATAAAACTGTGGTGTTTCCCCTTCCGTCTGGTCGGTTATCGGAAGAGTGTCTTTAGGTTCATCAGATAAACTTCTTTCAGGATAGAGATCAAGCATTGGTGCATATTCGCTCGATTGTGGACTCAGGGAAAGCGTTGCAGTAGCCGCTTTCTAATTATAACTACGTTTTAGTAGCATAAGTCATTTAAGTTCTGTATAATTGAGTAGCTCACAGTTCGGAATAATATAATATTCAGGTTTTTTTTTTGTTGCGTGAATGTATAACCGACTTATCAAATATTTTCTTATCAGTGAGTAATTATTTTTGTTTTTAAACAAGAATAATAGTCACTGCCAGATATCGTAGCTTTTGAGTGAAACATATTATAGGGTTTGGGCAATCCGTTTCGAAGTCTTGTATCCCGAGTTCACAGCGTCTTTGGCCGCTAATCCTCGAGAGTTTTGTTTAAGCTTTTGTTTACTCACTGTTTCCCACAATATTGTTAAATAAATGAACACAATTTTGTTATTTCAGTTACATTTATTTTGCAGTTATTTTCCGTTCGTGTGTGTTGTGTGTGTTTGTTGATGTCTCTATAGAATCTGTCATAATGGCAAACGGAATTGTGGGGGTTTCTTTGGATTTCTTATAGACTTTAAAGCGACGCTATTGTACATTTTACATTAAATTCCGTATTTGCTTGCGTAGTCTGTTACAATTCAATTAACAATTTTATCAGGATTCTGCTGTTGCACATCTGGAGATCTCGCTCCTGCAAATCTTCTCCCTACCATCCCTTAAATCTTTGCTTGCATCGAGAGTATAATGTGGAGCAAAAATGGTGGAGTGGAGGATTGATTTTTGGTTTTTGCTTTTGTTTGGTATAGAGAAAAATAGTTTACTTGTACATTTATGGTAATTGTTTTCTTGTTGTTACTCGTATGTATATATGGTATCTGTATGTATGTATATATGTATCGGCGCTCTGCTTTTAGGTCTTTGGTTTTCTGGCATCCATGAACAAATTCTTTACTCCACTTTCTTTTCTTGGCGGCTTTCTTCAAATATTGGGTTCTCTTTGAAATATAATCTTTTTTGTTTTTGTTTTTTTCTTTCTTCTTAATTCTAACACTACATCAATGTATGCACTATAATTAGTATTTTTAGTTGTTGTTTTTGGTTTTTTTTGGTTTTTGTTTTTTTCTTCTCTTCTTGTTTTGTGGTTTGTAGAGTTTTGGATTTCTTTGAATAGCATATTATAGTAATTTCTCTTAAACTTAGCCTAGACTTTTGTTTTTTCTTTGTTTTTGTTTTTGTTTTTGTTTTGGTTTTTCTTTTTTAAATATATTTAAAAAACATAACATTTTGTGTTGTTTGTGTAATAACATAACTAAACGTTGTGTGTTGGTTTGTGTATTCTTGTTTCTGTGTTTCCTTGTGCGAAATTAGACAAAAAATATCAAATCTCCTGCGGGCTGCGATTCAAATTGCCGGGGGCTAATCGATCCAAGTCGATCCAAGATGAGCCCGAACCTTGAATAGTTGACGGGGACGCACGTCGCGGCGCCTACGGCGCAGAGGGTCATGCAATATCGGCTGAATAGTAGAGTAGGGTCCGAATTCGTAATGGTGAAACTTAAACCAAAATAATAAGTCAATTGCGCTGGCGTAGGGGCGCACTTTAGTCAATCCATTGCACGGCCCACTGCTGGGGCAAGCCGCGGCGTGGCCCCCGCTCGGAGAGTGTACGGAAATCGGTGTGTGTCTTCTGATTAACCCCAGGCACTGAGCCCCTTAATCGCAGCCGGTCAAAGGTGATTTGCCGAACGCAAAACGTGTGTCTGGTGATAGGTCGAATTTGTTGGGTGTGCATCCCGATCTCCAGCACCCAGTCCGCAGCCTGGTCTGGATATCGGTATGCCGCTTTTATGCAATTTTGATGTCCACTGTTATGCGATTTCCGTGCTGTCATAACGGTGCGTGTGACGGTGAGACGCTTCTCGAAAAAAACGCAGTATTCTTTTGGTTGTGTGGCGTGTGATTGTGGTCTTTGGTCGGGGGCCGCCAAGTGCATTCCGCCGTTATTCTTCCGATATTTAACAAAAAAACGGAACCGGATATTCATGCACCCTGCGACCCCCCACGCGTGTGGTGTGGTAGGGATGAGCTGAGTGCGCGGCCGAATACCCGCTTGGGAGGAGACCGAGTACTCGACCCATCCCTACGCGATGGGGGTCTTCTTGTTTTCTTGCACATACTCGTACTTGTACGAGTGCCTAATCGTACGTACGAGACGTAAACGTAAAAATTAGTATATAAAATTCTCAAAAATTGTTTTCTTTATAAGCGTTTTAAAGTTGAAATTGTAGTTTTCGGATTTCCATTCCATTCCTTTTCATCATCTTTCTGCCTTCTTCCATATACTTTCGCTACCTAGCTTCGCGCTCATTTTTTGTTTTCTCTGACATCCAAAAAGTTTTCTTTCTCTACTTTTTGAGACAAATGCACGTGAAATACTTACGCGCCGCCCAGTGGACTGTCAGACAGAGAAACGGTCCGACTGATATGACAGAAAGACCGATCTGCCTGACAGTTTGTGTGCGGGCATGACGCCATTTCAATACGCTTGAAAATGCATTCGTTTTATTTAATTTTTGTGTGTGTGTGGTGTGTGTTTACTTTTAGTTGGCGCACAGCAGTGGAGAAAATTTATACCAATTGCACAATCCAGACAGAATTTGCATTAAGCATTTTGACCTATGCATTTTTGTTTTTTCGTGTGTTCCAATCGCGACATGTGCTATGCACTATGCCGTACGTAGTTTCCAATTTTTCCAATGTTTGCGTCCCAATTAGTAGTTTAACAAACTATGCAATTTGCAGCTTTTTCCATTCTTTGTAAGCGAATTCGAATAGCGAATCGGATACGGAAATCAAAAGTTTCGTATACATTTTCTCGCATCTGCTGTACGTTTGTGTCTTTGTCCTGGCCGGTGATTATATAATTTTATTTTGTATCTTCTTTGTGTCCATGCAGAGTCCCGAGAGACCTTTGGCACATGGCACAATATTAATTTACCTAATCGGGTTTCTCTTTTCTTGTCAATATTTTGTGATTTTTCCAATTCTCTTCACATTTATCTTTGGTTTCTTTTGTTTTCATTTTCATTTAGTTATAACAAACAATTTTCAACAATTTTGTACTTTTTGTTTTGTTTTTTTTTTTGGTTTTTCATTACATTTTCCCTGGTTCTTCATAATCTCATCATTTTCTTAAATCATCAGACATGATTCATCATCATACATCATTCCTCTCACGGCTTGCGGTTTTCTCTGTTTAACGGTATCACTAATCTGTTTCTGCTGTTTCTTACATAGGAACAAAACGAGAAGGAACATAATATTGAACTTGAATTTGATACAACTTTCGCAGGACTATTGCGCTGAGTTTGTGAACAAAACCTTTCTACTCTTCCCTCTAACATCTAACATCGGATTTATGTTACTTTACTGGTTACTCTGACTGGTTCTGGACTGTATCTATTTCATACATAGGTTAACTTTCGTAGAGTTGCTGCACTGTGAGGTACAGTTGTGTTTGTGCTTCGATTCGAGCTGTTTGAGTTTAACGTACTTCTTTCAGACACATGTGGAAATGCGAAATGCGAAAGGAAATGCGCTAGCGGTTGCGGGTCTTCTGAACTTTTGAACTTTTGGCATGACTTGGGATTCTTTATACATAGTGGAGTTTTCTTGTAGTAGATTCTAGATTGATTATAAGAAGTGTGTTGTAAGAAGTAATTTTGATTACAGCTTTTGATTTGATTTGATTCGACTTTGAGCTTGGAGTCCGGCTGTACGGACTTTTTGCTGTTTGCTGTTCCTGGTTCTGGTTCTTTTGGTGGGGTTCTGGGTTCTCCTGATCCTGCTTTTGCTGCTGCTGCTACTTCTGCTTCTGCCTCTGCGGTTTGGCGGTTGGTGAGGTGGGTGCTCAAGATGCATTTTGTGCGGCTGTGGGGTTTTGTTTGTGGGTTGGCTGCCTGGAATTAGCACGTTAAATCAGACGCTCGCTATACCATATTCAGAAATCCGTATTATTGCCCGTTCCGCCATCGCCCACGGCCCCATCGACCGCCTCGTCCACGCTGGGCGGCAGGGCCAGCGACAATTGGGGCGTCGCCGAGGAGCCGGCAACGAGCATGGTGGGTTCAGTGTTCCTGCGTTTCATTTTCAGCTTGTTCTTTTTCAACATCGTGGCCTACGTTAACGGTAGTTTATTTATTTTTTTGGTTTATTCCGATATCGATTTGAATCGTTTTTTATGGGTGCATATTCAATCACATTTCCATGAATGTTGGAATGCAATTTGTTTAGAAACATTGATTTGTTTCCATCATATTTGGATTTGATTTAAAAGTTAGGATTACAATACAGATATCGTGTGTAAATCGGATCGAATAAGTAGAGAGTATATAGAGTAGAGTATGTAGAGAAGTAGGTGTTGTTGTTGTTGTTGTTGTTATTGTGTATTGTATTTTTTGGAGAGAAAAGAGAGAGTAAGAAAATATAGAGAGTTAACGTAAAGGAAATCATGTATCGATCCTAGGATTATAGTTGTTCCAAAACAAGCTAGATCGCAATTAAACTGGCTGAGAAATCAGGCAAAATGCAACATAACTCAATAAACTAAATGTTTTTCATGTGATTCGATATTAATCGTTTGTATTATGATGGAAAGAAAAATGCTTGCAAGATCAAGTAAAAATATAAATGATATTATATATGGCATTTGCATACAAATGTTTCTTCTTCTGGTACGTACATCGTATATTTTCTCTCCTATAAACAAAAGGAAAAATCAAAAGCATGGAGAGTGTGGTGGGTGTGTTTTTGTGGTGTGTGTTTTTAGTTTCTAATTCAAGTTCAAAAGCGGTGGTCACTGTTCTTTTTTTGTGCAGAGTGGTGGTGGTTGGGTGGGTGGTTGTACTGGGTGTGTACTGTGTGGAATTTTGGTGGATTGTTCTCACATAGAGCTTTGACGACAGCCACTCAAGGGGGATTCTCTCTCTCGCTCTCTATGTTTTTCTGGCTTCTCAAATCTTGGCACCAATTGATTATTTACAATCCCTTCGCTATGTGTTAGCTTCAACCTTTTTGGGTGTACATATTTATATATTTTGTTTACTTGTGTCTTTACTTTGGTTTTTGTTTTTGTTTTCGTTTCTCGTTTAATGATATACGTTACTGTTGATTCTCCTTGAATGGAAGATTAAGTTTAAGTTTGCTTTCGCAATTGGAGTTTGCTCTTGTTGTTTTAAGCTTTAATATGATTACAAGACGATGCTCGCTGTGCTATGGATGTGGATATGGAACGCCACGCCACGCCTCTGTTTCCCTGCTACTCGTTTTTGTGTGTGAATTAAGTTTACTGTTGCGTTTCGTTTCATTACTTTGACTATGGGAAAAAACAGGAAAACCAATATCTCAGGCCCGAGGCATAGGCGGAGGGTAAGCTCTAGGTGCTGCCAAAGCTAGGGGGCAGCACCATTGATGATGCCCCCGCCGCCTCCTTATCGCCGTTCTCTGGCAGCTGTTGCTGCTGCTGCTGCGATTGCTGCTGCTGCTGTTGCAATTGTAGTTGCTGCTGCTGTTGCTGCTGCTGCTGCTGCTGCTGTTGTGCCTGCGACTGTGCCACAGAGAGACTCAGGACCGCTGGCGAGATATGCGGCTCCGTGAGGCGGCGCTTACTCTTCGTTTTCTTCAGCATGGTGGCCTGAATGTAGCATATAAAACACACACATGGGTCAAAACCAACATACACATACGCACACACACGCACACATACGCACACACATTTAACAGAGAGAATTCTACATAGATTTGGATTTTTTTTCTTTTCTCGAATATTATTAGTTTCAGCTTTAGCTCTTCGTCTTTAGTCTTTAACAATCAATCCAATAAATTAAAGATGCACAAAAAACGTTGCTCGGTTATGTGGCTATATTTTACATTGATTTTTTTTTACTTTTTGGGCTTTGTGATTAAGGGTTGGGTTGGGTGGGGCAGGGCAGTGGCATGGATGTGCTCTATTTAATTACAACAAAGATCGGGCGGGACCAATTGGACAAATTACATATGGAAACATACAGGAACACGCAATTCGAACACACACACAGAACAAAGTACTTCTAAACCTAAATGACAATCGGCTTGGTTTGATCTTTCTAAAATACTTCAGCACTGTCAATTAATCAATATTTAATTATTCAAAGTTCAATCGGTCGATTCTATTGTTAGCAAAGGAAATCTGTTAAAAAAACGTACAGCTTTCAGCTTAATCGGTTATCATTTCAGTCAGGGCAATTGATTGCGGAATATTTATTAATTCTGAGCCATCTACTGACTTCATTTTGGGCAAACAAAAAAATTAATTTAAATGGATAAAAATCATGAATTACCTAAAATAACTATAAAATGTTTAAATTTAATCATTTCCAGTGGCAAGTCCAGATGAAACCAACCAATTGTCATTTTGTATATAATTTTAAATAATTTTCATATCGGACTTCAATTGTGGGAGGCTTTAACATCATAATTTCCTATATTTTCTTAAGCTATACCTGTATGTAATATATAGTCTCTAATTTCAACTGTCACTTATGCTCTTAGATTGTGTTTTTCTTGTACTAAAGGGTGTAACAATCAAATGCAGAGAAATTGTGTGTGAAGGGGCAACATAAAAATGTGTGGCAGTGGAACGAACGAGTACGAAGTCGCTCATGGCTCTGATCTGAGTATCGTTTGTATGAATCAAAGAATATATATGTAAGTATGTTCGAGTACGTTTATGTACACAACAGAAAATGTGGTAAACTGTAAGAAGCGGGCATGCCATAGAATTTTGGAACAAAGGAACAAAGGCTGGAGGACATGCAAGGCAGAACAAGGAGAACAAGGATAAATACCTTGAGAGCCGACTTGAGAACCACAACATCGCCGGGACTCTGGATCCAGGGCTCGCCATCAACCTGAACGGGCATGTCCGTGTTCAGATGTATTTTAATGTGGCCACCCTAAACGACAGGGAACATAGGTATAGAATAGATCCCTGTATAAATATGTAGAGTCCCAACGAACCTGTGCTATGCGCATGGCCGTGCGAATGCCCGACTGGATTTGGCCCAAATGGACAACGCCAGTGACGCCCACCACCTCCAGCATTCCATCGTAGTGGTTAGGTGTGGAGAACTGATCATCCTTGTCGGGACCCCAGGGATTAGCGCCGCTGCCCCAGCTAAACAGCAAAACAGAGAAACGATTAAAGATAAAGATTACAGACGAAAATGATTGAACGACGCACCTTAATATATTCAAAATGATGATGCCATCAACTGGCGGCAGTTCCACAATCTTGCCATCGACCTCAAGGCGCAGCTCCTTGTGCAGATCCTTGACCGCCTTGCGTCCGACAATCTTCCGGAGGCCCATCTTGACGTAGTAGCCCTTGTTGCGGAGCCGCGAGTTGAATTGATTCGGATTCTCCTCTCGAGCATTGTGGAAGTCCAGGCACAGATCGGCATCGATCCCAATGCCAAAGTAGTTGTTCATCACAAAGATCTGTGAGTTGTCCTCGTTCTGGGCCCCACCTGTATGATGGGGATCGAGAGGAAGCGTTTAATTCTGGGGCCAAAAGGGAAAAGTTCTCCGACTAGACACACATGACACCGAACGTACAATAGACACAACATAGAGATGGATATATCCATAAATGTGTGGGGTGGGGAGATTGTACAAATTACCCAACATATCCTTGATCCTCTTGGAAAGTCTTGACGCTGTCTACGAAATACTTTACCTTTCGGGGGAATAAGAGAGCAGAGAGGGCGGGAGAGCTAGTGTATTGGGCATGCAGATCGTCTCTACACATCGAAACTAAACAGCATTTATCATCATCAGATACCAAACATCTATCTGAAAGATGGGAGGGTTTTCGATGGTGGAGGGTGGAGCGTGATTTTGCAGGCTACAATATACGGATGTATTTTACAGCCGGAATGTCTGATGTAGGAAGGATCAAAGCACAGATGTACGCTGGGAATGGTTTGTTATTTTGGGTTTTAGATGGGTTTGATCAGTAGGTTTTGGATTAAGACACTATAGACATCAATGTGGTTGGTGGATTGGTTTGGATTGGGGTGAAGTTTTCTGGGGTATATTGGTAGATTGTAGTTTTGTAGATTAAACAACGAACGAACGAACGGATTGTTTTGTAAGCACCAAATGACCTGATATATCACTCGATGTCAGAGCCGGTAATTGATGATGCTGATTGGTTTGTTGCGATTGCGATTGCGATAGATGTGCTTGGTGTGCCTTCTTCTTCTTACCGGTTGTTTGGGACGGCGCCTTCATGGCCGGCTCTTCGGGCTTATCCTCCGGATGGAAGACCACGGTCCAGCGATCCAGCCGTATCTCCTCGGCCTCGATCACATCCCGCAGCAAATTCAGCGGATCTTCGCCGCCGGTATAGCCAGAGCCCCAGCACAGGACCCGAGCCAAATCATTGCCTAAACGATTGAGTTGAATGTTGAGAAAATAACATCCAAATTAGAGTTTTCTTACCCGTTCCGAGTGGAACAATGGCGCACGGTGGGCTAGAGCATTCCGAGTCCTGGCCAACATTGTCCAGACACTGCAGCACCCATCCGATGGTGCCGTCACCGCCACAAACCAGAATCTTGTAGTTCGTTATCTGGCGGAAAACATACAGACTGAAAGGCGGAGAAGCAAATTACAAATCTGTGGCGAATGGCTTTGAGCTGGACCTACCCTGGCAGAGGACCTCCATTATCCAAATCGAAGACCTGATAGGGATTCAGCAATTTCCTGAAGCTGGAGATCAGCTCCAGGCCCTGGCAGCCACCAGACTTGACGTTGACAAAGACCAGCAGCGGTCGCACATCGGAAGGCACCATGCTGGGCTCAATGTTCGGCAAGAGCAGCACCAGCAGCTTCTTGTCCTCGATGATCGTCTCGCGGAGATTATAGAAGGCTCGAACCTGAATTAAAACAGAAAGCGAAATCCTTTAGAGGGATATCTGTTGGGCATCCATGGGTATGCCGGGACCTACCGCCTTCTGGGCATCCTCAAAGGTCAGGACCACAGAGCCGTACTCGTAGTAGATGGGTCCAATGCTGATGAACTTATTCTCATCGGTGACGTACTTGTTGAGGATCTGCTCGTAGTTGCGCTGCGAGAGTCCTGTGGGCAGATTGCCCACAAAGAGGGCAATGTTGGGTCCATGGGGATCCTGCTTGTGCTGCATGTAGAAGCGCATCAGCTCCATTTGGCGTATGGAGTCCTTGCCCAGCTGCTTCGTAATATCCCAAGGTCTCTCGTTCCACGAGAGGATGCGTTCGGTCACGCCACGATCGAGCAGCACCTCCGAGCATCTAAAAAAATGCACAGCAAATGGGTATTCAAGGGATGTATTGGAATAGTGGGAATAGATTCCCGCACCTGTAATCCTGTATCTGGTTATCCTGCAGCCCGAACTTGTCCAGAGCATCGCGTATCAAATCCTTGATGACTGTGTTATTATCCACAGGCACACTGACATACGGATCCTCCATGGCACACTGCAGCTTCCCAGGATACACGCGAACATGGCCCTTCTCCCTGTCGTGAAACCGAAGATATATCGCCGGTCGCTTGCCTTCCAAGTGCACCAGACTGAGCACTGGGGTTGGGTCCAGCATTGGGGTGTCCTCCATGCCAGCGGGTGCATACAGATCGGTCAGATAGAAGGCCTGCGGATCGCGAGTGATGTGGAAGGCCCGCAGTGCGGTGGTCAGCAGCTGCTCCAGCGTATACGTTCGCTGCACAATGATCACGCGGTACTGTTGTCGGCGGAATGAGTTGTTGCCATCGAATACCTTGATCATCTCTGTGAAAGGAATGGCATTAACATGAGTCCTTGTGGTTCCCTGCGGCTTTAGCTCTTACCTATATCCTTCTCCTCGCGCTCCTTTTCCTTCTTCTCGCGGTCTCTTTCCATTTTGGCATCGGACTTGGCATCCGACTTGTGGCTAGCGGAATCGGGCCTACTATAATGACCGGAGCCACCGCCACCGCCACCGGCACCACCACCACCGCCACCACCCGACGGTGCCGCAGATCCGCCAGCAGTGCTGGAGCCTCCTCCTCCGCCTCCACCACCACTGCCACTGGCGCCACCGCCTCCTCTTTCGCCACCACCACTGCTGGGTCCATGGCCCGATTCGGTTTTGCTGGCGGACTCTTCATCCTTGAAGCGGGGCGTATCGCCGCTGCTGAACTCCTCGGATATGCTGCGTGCTATTCGATCGATCAGAGGAGAGAGAGAGAGAGAGAGAGAGAGCTTTAGTCACTGTAGAGCTGGAGGATGGGCATTGACTTTAGTAGCAAACAAAAGCGAATCAATTCGCTTGAATGATCCTCGTGTTAGAGACATTTCGTGCAAGTGTTAGGGGGTTAGTGGGTGATGCGAATGCAAATGCGAATGTAGATGGTGCAAACGATGGTTAGATGGTTAGTGATTCGAATGGTTTTGAATTGTTAGATGGTTAGTGATTCGAATGGCTCGAGTGGGTTAGTGATTGGCTTGGCTCAAAATGAAAGAAGTAACAAAAACCAAAACCAAAACATTTATTTTTTTGTTAGCACAAAACTAGAGAACGGAACCAAGACTGCAAAACGAAACTCGAGCGGATCTCCGGCACCTGTCACCAGGGACAGAGACAAACAGAGGCACAGACAGAAAGAAAGTGAGAGAAAGTGAGAGCTGGGTTCACCTCTGCGCTTTTGATAGCGCGGCTTGCGCCAGCCGACGGAGAGGCCCCGCACATGCCGCAGGAGTCGCCCCAGGACATGGCCATCGCTGGCATCGCTGGCACGCGATCGACTGCTGGCACCGCCATCGCTGATGTCGCCGGCAAAGGCCGCTAGATCGTCGCTCTGTCCGCCGGGCCGATCGTCCAGGTAGAGATCATCGAAGCACACGTCATCATCCACGTCGGTGGCATCGTGGCCAGCAGTGCGGCGCGCCAGCATGTGGTAGTTGTCGTCATATGGCCGGTAGTTACCATCCTCGTCCTGGATGGTTATCTCTATGTTTTGCGACAGTCTGTCCAGGCTGTAGTTGCTCTTCACACCGCCGCCTGCACCCGCCACTCCACTGCCAGCCGTGTTCTTCGGCGATCGCTTGGATCGCCGTCGGAACAGACCGCGTCCGTACTTCTTGTAGCGGGACACACTGACGCCTGGCTCCTGGAAGGACTTGCTCCGTCCCACGGGCGAGAGCTGGAGCAGTGTGTGGGTGAGGGAGCCGCTCGCCATCGCTGAGGGTGAGGCCGAGGAGCAGTCGCTGGAGTTGGGCGAACTCAGGGATCCGCCCTTTCCGGCCACCTTGTGCTTGTACTTCGAGACACTGAGTATGGTCTTGGGCTTGGGCTTGGCCGCCGGAGCGGCCCCAGTCTTTGGATTTGGATTTTTACCACTCGCAGTAGCAGTCGCAGTGGCGATGGCAGTGGCAGTGGCAGTGGCAGCTGCGGTGCCTGTGGCAGCAGCAGCAGCTGTAGGTGGGTGGGCAGCTCTTGAGGCATGGGAGGTGTTACTATTACTACTATTATAGCTAAGGTTGCTGATCAGATTCATGCTGGAGTCGAGCTCATCCGTGTTCGTCAGATCGCCGCCGGTGTCCGAGGTCTCGTAGCAGCTCTCCCGGGGCGCCGTCTCCATTTCTGCGTCGCCGTGGTAGTCCGTCTCGCTGACTTCTCGCGGCTGCCGGCGTGCGGCTCTTTCACGCCGACGCAGGGCCACGTCACAGTGGTCGTAGTCGTCGCTGATGTCGCCACCGCTTATATCACAGACACCGCCATCCACCTCGTCTTCGTCCTCCTCCTCCTCCTCATCGTCTTCCTCGCTCTGAGATATCCCACCGCCGCGCTTCCGGCGTCTTCTGCCGTGTCCCAGCTTCCTGAAGATGCTCGTGTAGAGCAGATGCAGCGATGAGTTGGTCGACGGCGACTTTTGCAGCGGTCCAAGAACGTTCGAGGTGGAAGTCGTCAGCTGCAGGGCGCTGTCCGCCTCCGTGCCAACGTAGTCGTCGTCTTCATCCTCCTCTTGGTCGTCGTGGCGCTCCTGGTCCGGTTCCAGCTCGGTGCTCGTCTCTCCCACTGTCAGTGAGGGTGTGGGCGAGTGGCAGAGCGAGATGGAGCCGCAGGATGTGGGCGTGGGCGGTGATGAAAGGAGAAAATGTTGTTTCGATTGCTCAAGACGCTGCCGATGGAGCTCGAGCAGCTCTCTGAGGCATACCACGCCTGGCACCGTTCCAGAACCCGGTCCCGAACCAGCACTCAGATCCGGACTGGCTGCCAGACGCACCCACACACACATATTCACATTATTCAACCGAAAAGAGAGACATTAACGCAAGAGAGAGAGGAGAGAGAGAGAAAGAAAAAAAAAGAACAAACAAATAAATCAAAAATCAAAAAAGTAAAAACAAATCAAAGGAAACAAAAACCTAACAGAATCTATTGGTGGAGTTTAAATGATTTTTGATTTGTTCCTTTTTTTTTATAGAGAGGGTGGATTCTGTTTCTGCAGATGATCTGAGAGATGAGGGCGTGGATGAGCTTGAGGGAGGCGATGTGAGATTCTGAGTTCTGAGTGTGAACACAACATCGAGAGCTGCTGCTTGTGGGTTTTGTAGTGGGTGAGTGGAAGATCTTGTAGATCTTGTGGTATGTCCCCATAAAAAACATTTGCTCAATTTCAGAACTTTTCGATGTGAAGGTAATCAGAAAATGGTCTCATCTTGCAGCCATTTATTGTGTATTAACAGATGAAGAAAGTTTGTCTGAAAATGGGAAACCTTTTTCTGATTACCAGCACGATCAAATCAATTCTAAAATTCAGCAAATATTCACAGAATGAATCCCCACCATATTTCGGATGATACTTACGACACGAATAGTCGCGCACGAGCGTCGTTTTCGACTTGACCTGAACGCCGATGATCGCCTCGATGGGCACCTCGGTGCGTGGTATCGAGACTGAATGCGGAGGTAAGTAGATAGGTTGTAGAATACCAAAATTACATTCGGTTGGCAGGTACATGCGACATCCGGCATGGGTGGTCATGCCACACCACTCGCAGCGATAGCCTGAGCGAAAAGAACATTTAAATACAATCATTAATCAGTATCGAATAATCGTAGTGGTACTGATCCACTCACCAGTGAGACATTCCGAGGACCAGCAGGTCTTCTTGCAGTATGCGCATTTGGACGTTGATGGAAGATTGCCCTCTCGCCAATGGTGCTGTTGTGGAGGATGAAACATTGTACGATCGATGGGGGCGGGCTCGAATATATTTATACTCACTTGATGCTTCACATTAAGCAGCTCCTTGCCGGGCACATAGGTGGCATTCTCTGTGCAATCGGGCACGGCAAAATCTTGGCACTCAATATGCGCGAAATATTCGCAAACTGTGAAGAAACAACTCATAAGATTAGGTTGGTTTCAGAGGCAAGACATTCCCATAAGCAAACGGATACATTCATGTAGCGAACATTCGAGAATTTAATAAAGAAACTGTAACATTTCTTGTTTCACAAACATTGCTCGTATTGATCGCCTTTCAACAATGGATCATCCTTCAATATAGAGACTGACATGATGCTTGACACTGATGGTGGGGTTTGGGCGGTGACTGTCACTTACCTAGACAATGCACCGCTGGCGTTTCATCCAATCGCTTACGGCAAACTGTGCAGAATTTCCTCTTGTGATGCGTTGGCTCGGACCAACAATGGGCAACGGGATTCTGTAGGCAATGACACGATGACAGTCGACACAGTTATATTATCTGAGTGGCAAGTAAAGTGTGTTGGATGTACGTACCTTTATAATGCATGGAGCGATGCCGGAACAGGGTGTTACCACATTCGTGACACATCGTTCGTGTATGATAAAGTTGCAAACTGCAAGCGAAAAAGAGAGAGAATGAAAGTCATGTCAGTGGAAGTTTCTTCATTTCACGGCAATCAGAACGGTTCACGTTTACCTAAATAGAACAGACCTAAAGCAAGAACATACAAAAAACAGACCTATCTCTTCTTCCTTTTATGCGCCGGACTAAATTGGTATTTAAAATTCCTAAACAAGTTCCTTAGTCCCGCAAAACAGCAACCGCAAAGTCACCGCGTCATTGCCATCAGCCTGCACTGTGTGTCCCATTCATGCGAGTAGTTGCCGTTGCCCTGAGTTCATGGACAAAGACACATTCATTGAAGTTTCCCAAGCACCCACATGCCACACCACTGGCCTAGAGCCCATAGGCCCACAAAGGAATGCCAGTGCACGGCCAACCACCGAAGCAAAAGCAAAAGTAAGGTAAGAGTGAGAGAACTGCAGCCAAAAAAGTTCTCCTCTCACTTGGATTCCGACACTTGCTCTCATTTGGGTACTGGCGAAACGAGGTAGCGACTAATTCGCACGCAACTTATGGGTGGTTAATAACCTGAATCTAAAAGAATCTGCACTGAAGGTGTTGTCCAGTTTAGGCAGGTCTTAAAATGTCTCTCTCTTCCTCTGCGGACCATGCACTTGATGGCAAGCGAAGCACAGAAGATCAAAAACAATAAAAGCAAAACCAAATCTAGGAAAAACATAACACTGATGCATGTACACACATACACATATACAAATGTTTTTTTTTGGTTGCCAACTAGCTGAACATAGATATCACAGTTCTATTTTTAGCATTGCGTAAAAGTTGTGCGGAGGATAAATATGCAAGGGTAGTGTGAGTGTGTATGTATATATGTAACTGCATAATTATCTTTGTGTGCAGCACCAGCTGGGGGGGCGGGCGAGGAGGAAGAAGCAGAAAACTAGGCCGCTGACCTGAGGCGCATCTCTGACGTCACAACTGAACTCATGAATGCCGCCGATGCCAGCCAACTTTTAGTTTTTGTACATATGTATGTATGTACTTATGTACATACATACAAATAAAGCAAGCAGTGCACGACGGAGGACAAACGTGACGCGCGCCATGGACTCAATGCAGTTGCATGCAAAAGGAAAAAAAAAACAAACGAACTATGTGAAACTGTAAGTTGATAGTGTGTCCTCTCTCTCTCTCTCTTGGGTTTGCTCATGTTTGCTTGAGCTTTTGGCAAACATTATTATACAATTGCGGACATGGTATGGAGTTTTGGAAAAGAGAGATGGACCCGTCTAGTAGGTCCTTAAGTTTTGAAAGCTACATATTTGCTGGACAATTTTTTACACTGCATTCAGGAAAGATAAAAACTAGGTAGTTTTTTGTTTGCATTCACACAACTCAGTATTAGATGACTATATCATTTAATGTAAGTAGAAATATGGAACGGAACAGAACTAAAAAAAAGTTCGCCCGTTGAAGCTGTGCTTTATTGTCTTGTTTTGAGTTGCATGTGCATAAAGTGCTGGGTGCTCTCTAAAAAGTGGCATGGGTACTGCCACTGGCGGACTCCCTTGCAAAAGCAACAGCTGAGTCAATTCTGCCTCCGCGTATACACGCCCCTGTGGGGGTCAAAACCTAACGGTGCTTCTTATACTCGTTTGCCCATCATTCCCTTCATTTCTCTCTGTTGCATACACTTGCATTATGTATACCAAAAAATTGGTGTGTACTTCTCTCACTCACTTTCTCTCGCTCTCTCTCTCTCTCTCTTTCTCTGGCTCACACGCTCTCTCTCTTTCTTTGTCACTCTCTTGTAGATAAGAATAAGCAGACAAATACGCAGAGAGGAAGAGAGTCGAGAAGCAGCGACGCCAACGCATGGGGAAATTTTCGAAATGGTTTTCTTTGCCTTTTGTATTCCCGTGTTGTTGTTGCTGTTGTTGTTGGTGCGTGCGTGCGTCTGTGGGGAAATTTCTGTCTGTGGAAACTCAACACACTTTTACTTTTACAGTTTCCTTTCCTTTCTTTTGTTTCGTTTTTCTTGAGGCAATAAAGCCAAGAAATAACAAAAGGGAAAGCAGAATAACAAGAAGAAGTACTAGAGGCAGCACAAAGCCAAATTTAAGGCACACACACACATGCTAGGAGATGGGAGAGAGTGGCGGAGATGAAGAGGCCGCAGCCACAAGGAGAGGGAGTTTTTGGAGGTTAGGGACAATTGAATATACGCACAAGTTGACATGCGTAGTCCATGAAGAAGAAGAACAATTAAAATGGATATGTATATGTACGAGTATTCGCCCCAACTGGAGGGAGAGTTATACAATTCAATTGTGGAAGAAGCAGAATCAGCAGCAGAAACAACTCTCTTCCTGAACTTAAAAATAGATGTTCATAAGCATACATACATATACATACATGTACGTGCGTACATACATAAATGTACATACATATGTAGATGAGGTGACGCATGACGGAGAGCATACATGGCTCTATTTGTCCCACTCCGACGCCCACACTTAGTGCTGCTGCTGCTGCAACTTCCATGACAACCAAACTCAATTTCGTTTGAATCTGAATTCCCCTTTTGATTGAAGCATTCATCATCCCACAGATTGCAGCACAAATGGTTCATATGAATGTAAGTATGTTCATACATATGTACATACATACACACAGTATGTACATAAATCCGACGAGAACATCAAAATGCAATTTGTGACGCTGCTCCTGTTGCTTATGCTACAGCATGCAAATTGCGGTTTATTTTTAGACCCCCCTCGAAATAGCAACACAAAAAGATATCTATGTAAAGATATGTATAAATGTATGTATGTATTTATGTACATAAATAGTTTTGTATACATACATACATATTTATGTACATATGTATATGCAAATTGTAGGTCTAATTATAAATGAGCCAGCGCTTTACAGCACTTCAGCCCACACACATGCACTGTTCTCTGTACGGTCCCACTGGGAAAGGATGCAGCGTGACGTGACATGACGTTGATACCGTTAGCATCCTATCCTACCATCTATCCACTGCTTCACACTGCACTGCTCTCCTCTAGCAATGCTTGGTACTGCTTTCCACTTTCTATGCTTGACACTGCTTGACTGACATACAATGGGAATTTGGTTTTTTTTTCCTCTTTTGTTCGGGAGGCAGGACCAGGCCAGGCCAGGCTCACCTACGCTGCCAGTTAAACTCTTCAGACTCTCGAGTGCTAGTCGGTTGTCGGTCGCTTGCACCGTCAGCAGTGCTTTTCCTTTCCCAGTCGTTCTGCCTCTTACCTTTCCCCATTTATCCATCTACTGCCTCGCAACCCCTTCCATTTATGCATCTACCTCTCGCCCTCTTCCTGCCGTCCATCTTCTGCTGTTCGCTGTCGAAGTGCCAGCCAAACTGACGGCCGACATTACCCCGAAAAATCCGATCATTTAGATAATATGCTCTTTCTAAATGTCAAAGAAAAATTGAGAATTGTTTACAGAAGAATTAGGTAGATTCCGAAAGTATTCGAAGCGATACAGTAAAGGATATTTTTTGAGATCCCATGAATCTTTTATGCTTGTATGTATGTACACCAAAGTACTCCCCTCAACAATAGAACTCCTTACTTTCTTCTTATCCCTCTCCTGAAGAATATGTGAACCTTTCCTACGGACATATCTCTATAAAAATCCATCGATAGTGTATATTTGCTTCGAATCTATAAGTTTCCTTCAGTTTCATGCTCTCGGTTTTCCATTCAGTTGGGTTATGAATGAACAGCGTCGAGAACGAGGCAATTAACAAGGCAAAACCCCCCGTCCAACCCCAGCCGCACTGCCCCAACCTCCATTCCCCTCCTCATTCAACCTCAACCTCAGGCACGACCGCCCGTTTGGTTTTTGGTTCCACTGTCGCCGTCATTTGCCATGGCGGCCATTGATGACGCACTTTTAGCCCTTCGCTGCTATCGGTGGCAGCACTCTCTCGCTGTGGGAGGTGGGGAGGTTGGTTGGTGGGGGGTCGTGTGTTGGTTCAGGGGCATTCGAAGCGGTTGGGGGTGGCAGTGGTGAGGCGGTGGGACCCTAGCCGGCTTGCAACTAGTCCGCAGCCCACATGCATCCACAATTGGATTTCGGTGCGCACCTGCTGCTGTTGCTTCACTGAGAGGCCGCCTCTCCTGGAAAACCAATTGAAATGTTGCCTGCGGCTCCTACTGCATCTGTATGTGTGTGTGTGTTCGTGTGCATCTCTATCTGTGCACATTTGACCTACTTTCGCGTGAGCCTCTGCCTGGGTCCGAGCCCGGATCCGTGCCCTAAGTCTCGTCGTCGTCCTGGTCGGTCCTGGACCACAGTGAGTTGTAGCTTCGGATTCGGGTTGCTGCTGCCGGTGGGGCTCTTGACGTTTCGTTTTGTCCAATTAAATGTGTAACTCAATTATCCTCCTCCATACCAGCCCCTCCGTGTCTGCTCCACTTCCACTTCCACTTCCAATTCCAATTTTCATTTACATTCGTACAACGCTACGTATGCGTGATGATGATTTCCCGGTCACCAGAGAGACGCCCCCAGCGGTATGCAACACGAATTTAGCTCACAAATATCTATCATTTCTATGGGGAACTTCCTTCATGCAATGCTAAGTGTAGATAACTCTTTATTTGCATTTGAATACACAAACTAATTCTGCAGTATCATAAATGGAAGCATTATTCCCTAAGTTCACAGAATTGATGTTCCAGTTATATGAAGAAATGTTTCTATAAGTAGAAGAGTGTGATCTTCTGGATTTATATCTTGAACAGTGAACAGAGAATGCCCTTTAGTCTTGTTTTATTAAACAAGATAGTGTAGCTGATAAACAGGTCTTCCATGTCCTGTTTTTTTGAAGGATGAGTGTAAAATAAAAGATATGTTTTATCATTGCATATTCTTCAGCTTCGAGTAAAAAATCTACCAATATTGAAGCTTCCATTAACAAGTTTGGGGATCTGTTTAGTAAATTGTTAGCAGCTAAACGGGGTCGGGTCGTGTCTGACTTGTGGCAAATGGCAGCTAATTGAGTGGTATATGTACAGTGTACACTGTTTGGTCAAGGGGCAAAAGCATTGAGATGAAGATGGGGCGCGCGCTCGCTGAAACTATAAACATTAACACGCTGCCACATAAAATGAGAAGCGCGATTCGCAAATCGCGATAATTATAATAATAGCAGCAACACAAATCGCCTGCAAAAATAAACGAAATGAAAATAGAAAGGGGTGGGGAGGCAGGGTAACCGGGGCACAATTTTCAGTGTGAGGCAAGGCGAGGCACCCAACACGCTTCCAATTGGGAGAGTCAAATAATCCACTGATTGGCCTCCACGTCCAGTTCGTTCGATACTCTGTTCTCTGTTCGGTTTCATAGCGATTTCCATGGCAATGGTACATCAATATATACCGAGTATTTTCACATACATTTGTATATTTATATGTATGTATGTATATTGTATACGGAGAGTCGAAGCTGTCTATGACGTCGTTGAGGCTCTGTGCTCACGTCATGGCACGACACGGCCAACAGCCGCACAATTTGGAAAAGTTCAAAAGCGCACACTTCTCTGCCACAAATAGACCGATGATGCTGCCTGCCTGACTGCCAGCCTCTTTATTGTAGATATATTGAACGTAGATATTCCACTGCTGATTCTGATGCTAGATGCTAGAAGCTCCCCTGAAGTTTTGTCGGTATTCCCATTCCCTCTCTCGAAAGATGACCAACCGCCCCAATGACGTTGATTGCTTTACAGACCGAAAGGCTTTGTTTTTGCAACAGCACCCCCCTCTTGTCACCATCGTACCATCCATCTGCCCATCCGCATTTACATTTCCAAGTTTATGGCAATTTAAAAATTATTTTCAAAACTAGACGAAATGTATTTTTACATCTGCCGTTTCTCACCGAAGAAGCTCCTCCGCCGATGATGATGATTTCTCGCTTTTTGGTTGTGTTTATTGATCGTTAATTACAACTTATCTATGGTTATTGATCGATGGTGCACGTGCGTCTTTCAAGAGTTTAAGCAACTTATTTTTAGTGTAAAAAGCAATTTAACTCTCCTCTTTTCCAAATGAAATATCACTTTCCTGAAACCCTTATCGAGACTATCATTTGAGGCAAAAGCAAGAAGGAACAGTATAAGTATCTAGTATCTATTTCTCAATCAAAGAAGAAACTTTCCCTTTAAGATGGAAAAATATGAAAAAGAATCGTAAGCCAACCGAGGAGTGCTGCTGCATGACATCCGATGACGCTCGATACTCTGACTAGCAACCAGTTCCTCCTCTGTATTTATGTGTTACTACAGTAATAGATTCTACCTTTCATATGCCATAATCCTATCCTACCCTTTATGAATTATGAAATCTTTCTAAGAACACGTTGAAAACTATTTCCCATCGGAAGCATTCTTTATAGAAAGTTGTCGCCCTCCTTAAGCTGAAAATATCAGAATTCTTAATTTGAATACTCACCCTCGCATATGTAGCCCTGCTGGATGAGGCCCCAGAGCAGATCCGAGCAGTGATGACAGTAAGTTGGCTTATGAAATGTCTTCTTCACGAATGAATGCCCACCATCCGCCATTTTGTTTGTCGAAATACCGCTGCGGCTGCTCAATTCGGTGCCTCCTCTCCTCTATCTTTCCTTAAGTTTCGGATGTGGCTTCGCAACTTTTCTTTCTATATCTATTGTTTTGTGTTTCTTCTGCGGCTGCTTTCTCCTCTTTTTTTTTGTGGCTGCTTCTTCTCTTTCTTCGGTGTATATAACAGTTGTGTTGTCTGGCGCCCTCTAAAGGATGCCGGCGCAACTTAGGCGGCCACTGCAGCTTCTGCTGAGCGTCTGCTGCTGGCAAACAACGCCAGCTGAGGCAGCGCTGTCGCAGGAATCAGCACGTAGGTGAAGGCTAGCAGATCCCGTTTCTCCACCTGATCTGCTCTTCTGCTTCTCCGGGATTGCTGCTGCTGCTGCTCTGCCTGCTTTGAATGCTGCTGCTGCTGTTGCTGCTGCTGACGACAAAAGCTCTGACAAATGGAGGACAACGACGACGACGACAAAAGTGACGACGACGACGGCTGCATTTTCATCCATTGGTCCTCCAGGTGGCGTTTCCTTTATCCAGACATCTGCTAGCCGGAAATTCGATTTTCTTTTGTTTTGTTTTTATTTTTTGTGGTTGTTGTTTTTGATTTTATGTTAATTTTGTTGCGTTTAGAAGGCTATATATTTATATACATATTTTATAAGCATGTCAGAGTGTATAATATTTATGTGGTTTAATGGCATTTCCTATATGTATTCGGGTTGGTTTTATTTGCTATTCTGTTTTGGTGTGGTTTTGGTTTTTGGTTATTTACAATTTCTGCCAAAGATTTATGCACTGAAGAAAAATATAAAAATGCACTATTATTTCTTGTTTACGTTTGTTTAAATTTCACTTTTTTTCATACGCGAGGCAAGGCACACTTATATTTCTTTCACTTTTTGTCACATTTTCGACTGAATGCAGCAGCAGCGAAACGGTGTTTTCCTTCGGACTCCTCTCCTTTGCGATTGTTCTCTTATTGCTTCAGCTAGCTCTTCTGATTCCTCTTTTTTGCTGACTGCCTTGCTGCTGTGCTGCTACGTGGGCGCCATTCCACCGTACCCCCCTTTAACAGAAAAAACCGTTTCCAGATAATAAAATCCACACAAGCGGGAGGGACAGAGAAAGAGAGCGAGAGAGAGCGGAGCAAAAGCTAGGAGAAGACAAAGAGAGCGAGTGAGTGCGAAAGGAGGTGTTGCTGTGGGAGAGCACTGCACAAGAGAGGGAGAGGTAGAGAGTCGCAGAGAGTGCGTCGCGCGTCATGCGTGGTGAGTTTTCGGCCGAAAGTTCCCGTTATTCCAAGCACCATAAAAAAAGCAGTAGACCGTCCATATAATAATAGAAGTGTCAAAAATATGATATCAACAGCCTGTCCCTATACAATGAGAGAGAGATAGCAACATACTGCAAGAGCGAAAGAGATAGATCCAGTGCACTTTTGTTTTTTTGCGTTTCGGTTTTTTTGTTGTTCACCAACGTTTTTCTTTTTCTCAGTGGCTTGCGCCCTCAAGTATGCAACACGTTTTCCCACTGCGAGCAGCACCACTCCTACAACCACCCGCCACACACCCACTGCCCGCTTGCGAAGGGGAAGGAATCGCTCTGCCCCAAGGACAAACCAGTCAAATATTATATCATCCAGCGCCTAATAATAGACGAGAAGAACGTTAATGGCACTTGAAATTCAAACTCGATGACATTAACCGACAGGCTAAGCGGATAGCCCCCCAAAGAGACTTTCGAGATGCTCTTACAATATATCTACTAATGCCAGCAGCCTGACGACGTGGAATGTGTCCATATCCAAGTGGCAAGCAAGTCCGTGTCCATGTCTTAGCTGCTGCTGCTGGGTTCTCAAGGAGCGCGTCATGCGCACAATGGAACTCACCTCCACCCCAAAATCCACCACAGAGGCACAGTAGCGGGTCCTCGGTGCTCAAGTTTAAGGACAAAGTGTATTTCTACAAGGTGAGGAGCATTCCACATTCAAAACTTGCTTTTTTTCTGAGCCACTCTCTCCTGCTCTGTGGTTCAAAATATGCTGTGATTGTGAGAGCAAAAACACATTGGATAAATATCTTCCCAAACTTTCTGTTCATTTTGCCAAAGGATAATTCACATTTTTTTGCAAGCTTTGTTTTATCTGCCGATCTGCTGAAACAGCAGCTAATGTCAAGGAAGAAATTATTGATGCTGGCCTTTTCTTCTGAGAAGATCCGAAAGAAGAGATGCAGAGAGATTTAAGGTACTTCGGGTGCTTGCGGCTGCTGCTGTGTGCTCGTGTGTAGGAGCTATACAAACACGCATCATGGTTGTACATGTTTATGTGAGTGTATGTGTATCTATAGACAAAAGCAGGCGGCAGTGGCAGTACTTCGCACCCACTGTGGGCCATGGCGCCCATTCAAATATCCCCCCCTCTACACCTCTCTCATAACAGTACTCCCTCTCTCCAACCCTTGCTCTCTCTCTTTCCTTGGCGCAATGCTGCGCGCTTCGCTCTTTTCGGGTCGCATGAGCAAATCGCAATAGATAGAGAATTTTTTTCTTCCTCCTTCTTTGGTGGCGCGGCCTGCTGCTCCTGGTTTATTCCTTGCCCCCCCCCCCCCCCCCACACTCCCCCCCACACACCCCACACACACACACACACACACAAACGAACACGCACACATTCACTCTGGATGGCCTTGTCTTTGATGTGTTTAATTTTTTCAGGGCTAATCACTTGAAGAAGAGGTTAAAAGCAGGCAACACGATGGCAAGACTCGGATATAACTTTTAGGGCTAGATCTTGGGCCCTCCCTCTTTGCGACCACTGCCTGGAATATTTTTTCTTTTAGCCTATGCTCCCGCACTTTGCACATATGACAACGTAATTTTCACACAAACAAGCACACAACACACACTCCCCCTCCAAGTGAGAGAGAGTGAGAGGGAGAGCGGGAGCGAAAGAGAGGAGAGTCGGGAATTTTATGTACCATATATTTTCCACGGGACTTCGGGGGCCAGACAACGGTCGCCACTGAAGCTGCAAAATTTTTTTTGCACACACAATTTTCACATTTTCTTAATTTTCACATTTTTGCTGCTGCTGCAAAGATTTTCCACTGGGGTTTCCACTCGTTTCGTTTTCTCGATAGGCGTTCCGCACGTTACAGTTATTCCCGTTTCTTGAATCTTTTTCTTTTTTTTTTCTTTGCTGCTGGATTACATTTTGTGTGCGATCGACGGTTGTTGCCACTTATGCCACTGCCACTACCACTGGGGGTGTTCTTTTATTTGTATGTGGAAAATTTTCACCGATTCGAGCAGAGTTTCCTTCTTTTCTTGTACATTTTTCTTTGCTTTGTGTGTGGTGTGTGAAAATTTTCTTCTTCTCTCCTGTGCGCTGCCGCTGCTGCTATTCTGTGCTGTGTGTGGCAGTGCCCCGTAAACCGAAACTGCTGGCTGGCTGGCGGTGGCCTCTCGCGATGCAGGAAAAATGGGAAAACTGTTTGTTCGGCTCGGACTATGAAAGAGCGCGCATGCGCCTGATAAGTCTATAATTCGCACATTTCTTATCACCGAAGCTGTCAAACTGACGGAATTCAAGGCGCACAGTGGCGCCCTTTCCCGATTCAAATTGGGAATTTTAATGTTGATTCGTTGCCATTATTTTAGCTTTTGTTTTGGATTTCTATGAGGATTTAAACTTGAAACTATGATGTCGTTTGAAAATCATATCTTTCTCCATTGAAGATGATTCATGTTCCCAAAACGATGAAAGGGTGCTGCCTAGATGTACCCAATGCTGAGCTTAAAACCTTATTATATATGGGAAAAACTTGAATATGCATACTTAATTTGAATATCTTAACCAATTTTGTTAAAACAGTTTTGAATATTTGATGATTACCTAAATCCTAATGTAACCTGCGATTGAAATTACCTCTACCTAATCCATTTGAATATAAAATGTCTCTCACGCTCCCGCAGGGCTCTCCGGCTCGATTCGTGTGCTGAGAGAGAGAGAGAGAGAGAGAGAGAAGCACACCCCATCACACTCTCCCGAGTGAAAATGAAATCAACAATTTGTTGGCTGCTGCCGGAGCTGCCAACTTGTGGGGGCTTACAGCCCCAACCACCCATCCCACCCACAAAAGTGTGGCCAGGTTGCCGCGAAGGGACAAAACACTCGATACACTCGATACGATTTTTATTAGATTTAGGAATTGAATATAAAATGCAGTAGTTGCAGTAATTTTGTTTGATTAGTTACGTTGGGATATATATTGGATATTGCATATTTTGCATAGGGTGTCTTTTCATCAGATTTATCTTATATCTCTAAAGTTGAGCACACCGTCGATTATTCTTTTCGTTTCGCTTTGCCTTTCCTTGCTTATTCTCTAAGTTATCCTTTAAAAGTATGAATGTGTGTGGGGCTTTTTGAGGGGATGTGAGGACTTTTGCAAATTGCATTTGCCGGGCTCCATATATGGAGCGTATTCTATAATAAAACTGATGCACTTTTAAGGTTAGATTTGAATACATATACACGCATACATTTTAAGGCAAAATAAGTACTGTTATAATTTGATGGGCCTGCCATCTTATCCCAGGCCATGATCATCGAAGAAACTCTGCGGGGTCTCATCCTGTAAAAGGGAGAAGGCTTTACTTCAGTTTTGGCTTTGCTTTGGTTCGGTTTTTACTGAAGTAGAGAGCTGTATACTTATAAAACAAATCATAAAAGCATCGGCACTTTTGGCTAACCCAAAATAAATATTCTATAAAAGAAAGGTTTAAAACTAAAACAACAGGACACCAAAAGGGTGCACTAAGCCTAGACACAGAGAGAATTAAATATATAGAGACAGAGAGAGAAAAACAGTGGAGAACAGTGGAGAGTCAAGGTCGGAGAGCAGTCAGTGTAAGACACAACAACAAGAACATCAATTCAATCATAAGAAAAACTAAAAAAAAGGACATACGATACATATTTAATATAATGCTAGGGACTCTGGATCGGCAGCTCTAAGTTCTTACCATATCCATACATCATAATAGACATAGTGGCGTACGAGTACTTTTATCTTTTTCAAAAATACTTTTGATTTTTATTTTACGTTTTACAAAACACAGAAAATTTGGCTAAAACGTACAACACACATACATAAACAGATACCATATATTGTAGATATATATATTTATATTTTATATAGACTATAGTTTATTCAGTTTATACCACTAAAAGAATATTAATACATTATTCTTTTTTTTGCTGATTGTTTTTTTTTTTTCAATTATATATTTTTCATGTTCCACATTAAAGCTTACGTTTTTCTATGGTAAAAATATTATTGCATAAAGCCCCTCTCTAAAATTTAATTATTGCCCATTTTGACGACTGATTTGGAATGATCTTTCATGAAGAGAAGTTGTAAAAGAGGAAAATTAATTCAATTGCTGGATTTGGTTTAATGATCGATCGTAACCCGTGGGATGGTTCTACGTGAGTTTGAGATGTTTTGCATGAACTTTTCCCTATCTGTTGGATCTACATATGTTGTGTGTGTGTGTGTATATGTATTCTTATTGATATAATTAAACAAAATATGTGTAGGAACCGTGTGCCAATATTTATGCTGTTTTGAATGGATGCTCTGCCATGGAAATATCATTTATACTTTTCTTTTGTTTTTCTCTGTGGGTTTTATTTTTTTTGAGCCTCCCTTGCTTCCTCTTCGTCAGCTTCAAGGATTCAGTGCTGTACAACAGCCCCCACTCACACACACACACACGCAACCAGTTTTTAGGTGTTGGCAAGTGTCAAAAGAGTGCTGTGTGCATGTGCCTGTGCGCAGAGGATTGCTGCTATTGCGGGTTGTGTTTGTTTGTGTGTGTAAATATCAACTATATGGGTTCTACGGAATTTGTCTTTTTCTAGAGGAGTCCAATATCTCTTAAAGTGCCCTCTACGGCTTCGTCCTGGAGTACACAGAATAGAGAGAACAATAAGAACGAGAAGAGTAGACGGAAGAAATAGTAGTAGCAATAGTATGTATGTAGTTTCAGTGGTAGTATCAGATGTGTGCTGTGATTGTGGTAAGTAGTTTATGTTTATTTTTTTTCGATTTGCACGGCACATTTGTGATTGAGCGTATGGTGAGTGGGCGATGCAAGAGAACACGAAACATCACAGCGCAGAGAGGGGAAAGAAGCGTTTCATACGTGGCAAACATTTATGTACAGCTCGACTGATCTGACCTAGACACTCCACTACACAACCGTTTTGTGGGGCAGGTGCTCTACATCGTAGTATATTTTACATAGAGATTTACACCTTTTTTTTTGGGTATGGTATGGTATGGGATTCTCTTCTAGTTCAGATACTCATTGAAGTCCTGCGATTGTTGTTGGTTTGTTGGTTGGTTGTTGGTGGTGGTGTTACATCGATTTATGCAGTGGCGGGTAGGGAAAGCGTTAATAATAACAAGAGAAAGGGTATAATGGTTACACACTTATATGGCTTATATGTATACAAGAATTATTGAATGTCGGTATGTCTAGTTAGTATAGAAAAACAAACTATCAAACTACCAAAGATCATGCAAAACAATCCAAACTACTACGTTAGAGTTATGATATTCTTATGGCTAACAAAACACACAAAATTTGACTATGGATCAATCCGGACTACCGGTAATCCGTTTATCGGTAGGTAGGTAGGTTGGTAGGGTAAATGGCAATCAATTGTGGACGGAACTACGTTGGAATTTTAGGTTTTACGTACAATAGTTTAGCAATATGTATGGCAAGTTCAATACTGTATAATTAACTCTTGAAATATTCTCACAATTCTTTTCGTTTTCGGCGGAGGGCAAGTTGCTGTGGCATGCAATCAATTTTCGAGGCGTTTACAACGTGTGTGTTTGTTTGTTTGTGTGTGTGTGCTTTACAATATCGTCAATTTTGAATTGGGCTATTAAACAAAAAATGAACAACACACACAAACAGAATCGTATCTTAGGATCTATTGCAGTGAGTAAAAGAACTCTTCTTGCTTCGATTGTTGGTTTGATTTGGTTTGGTGTACAGTAGGTGTTTAAAGATATTAGTTTCGATCGCACAAATTAGAGAAACAAAAGAACAAAAGTAAGTAATAGTACATAAAAAGATAGATAGAGAGATTGTAGATTGAGATAACCATGATATGCATTTATGGGGTAATATAATGACTCGGTTCGGGGTTGCAACAGGCTTTTAGGAAATGAATGGCATATAAAGGCATACATAATAAATATAGATAGATGGGAACAAACACTAACAAGTTAACGAAACTAAAAACCAGCGATTCGAATAAATATGTAAAACAATTAACAATATCCGTCATATATATAGGTAGATATATATATGTATGTATATATCTGCATATACAGACAGCTTCGACACAACCGCTAGGCATTACAGATCATATGTCTCGGGTGTACTGACCTCTTGTAGCAGATCCTGTGAAGCAATCGCTTTAAGTACATTCTTCTTTGAAGTCTCTTGGATCTCGCCGCCAATTAGCAGCTCATCCAGGATGAAGTATGCCTTCTCGAAATTGAATATGATGTCCAGCTCGCAAACCTATGAGAAACCCAATCAAATTTGAATGCTTCCTTCGTTGGCAGCGCTCTCGATATGGTTCACTTACGCTGCCAAAGTACTTATCCAATAACTCCACATAGCGATGGATAATCTCTAGGGTCAGCAACTCGTTGTCGTTCTGCTCAATGGCGCAACAGAAGTACAAGCTGGCATATCTGCAAAACAGTAAAAAGGATCAGTCAGAGACGTGTGACAGAAATGCAATGGACGCACCTCTTGTATACGATTTTGCAGTCCTTCCACTCCAGAAACGAGCACATCTTGGGCTTGCGGGCCAGTATCGTGGTCACTAGCTCCCGGGTGATCTTCTTTTTCACCTTATCCGGATACGCCATGTACCACTTCTGCAGCCGTAGCTTGCCCTGCCGACTGAATAGCAGCATGAAAAGCATCTACAGCGTAAGGGGAGAACAATTATCAACGATTTGTTACAAAACTAATTAACTTTTCATAATCTTTAAGCCACAATTTTTCCCACTGACACAGTCATCAGGCCGACACACACACACACACTTAAGTACAAATGAGCCAACATCAACACCAGAAACAAAATCGAACTCGACAAACCTACTTTTCTCTGTAGAACTAAGTTAACTTTGTGAACCTTACCATTCTTTGGGGCTAGGCCTTTGTGTGTTTATAATTGGCGGCCTCGTTTTGTTAAAATATAAAAATTAAATTTTTTTCATGCACAGCAAATATTGTGCAGCTGCCATTCGCAGCGAAGTTGTAAACGTGTGATAGTGAACGGCAAATTGTATCACAGAGATGGACAGAAATAGCTAACATATATTTGTATCGTATTCCACCACCTCAATTGCAGACTGTGAGATATTTGTAATTTTATTTTTGGCAGCTCAGCAATAAAGAAACTGTTCTGATATCATATGAAATGTTTTTAAGGTTAGTAATTTCAGTTATTATTTGAAGAATATTTACTTAATGACAGTTATTTATTTACAATATCTCTAACAAGTGGCTGACGAGTTGTCCGTCCTTGCGATATTTACCACTCACAGCGATGTAGCTGTTGGTGGAAACCTACCGATTGTCCATCCCTACTGTGTAGACGTTAGCAGCTGGCCGTACTCGTGCCGTTTTTAAGCCGTGGAATTTCATCAATCCAATTTATTTTGTAATCGAAGGCAGCGAAAATGTCAATAAAGCTCAAAGCGAACATCAATAATCCGCCTATAAGTAAGTGTGCCTCCTATCCTTAGCCGAGTATCACAAGCAACTGCTGTGCACGATGTGAGGTTATATCGGAACGCACCGCAAAGTCTATTTATGTACAACATTTATTACCGATTCGTGGGGTTATTGCATCAGTTTTTTATGGTTTGACATTACGCAGGTGGACTGGCGACGGCGCATCTTATCAACGGAACGGTGCCCGTGGAGATAGTCTGGAGCAAGGAGGAGACCTCGGTGCAGTTCCCGGACAACCGCCTTCTGGTGTGCCACTCGAATAACGATGTGCTGCGCGCCCTGGCCCGCTCCGCTCCCGACTACAAGCTGTACGGCGAGACGGCTATCGAGCGGACACAGATCGACCATTGGCTGTCCTTCTCGCTGACCTGCGAGGACGATATCTCGTGGGCCATGTCCTTCCTGGACAAGTCGATTGCGCCGGTCACCTATCTGGTGGCCAACAAGCTGACCATCGCCGACTTTGCCTTGTTCAACGAGATGCATTCGCGCTATGAGTTCCTCGTCGCCAAAGGCATCCCCCAGCATGTCCAGCGCTGGTATGACCTGATCACTGCCCAGCCGCTGATCCAGAAGGTGCTGCAATCGCTGCCGGAGGAGGCCCGTTCCTCGGCGAAGCGTGTGAAGCGCAGTCCTAATGCCTCCAAGGAGCAGACGCCTGCCAAGACCGTAGAGCGCAAGCAGGAGGGCAAATTTGTGGATCTTCCCGGCGCTGAGATGGGCAAGGTTATTGTCCGTTTCCCCCCAGAGGCTTCGGGCTACCTGCACATCGGACACGCCAAGGCGGCGCTGCTCAATCAGTACTACGCCCTGGCCTTCCAGGGCACACTCATCATGCGCTTCGACGACACCAATCCGGCCAAGGAGACGGTCGAGTTCGAAAATGTCATTCTCGGCGATCTCGAGCTGCTGCAGATCAAGCCGGATGTCTTCACGCACACCTCAAACTACTTTGATCTGATGCTGGACTACTGCGTCCAGCTGCTGAAGGAGAGCAAGGCCTATGTGGATGACACACCACCCGAGCAGATGAAGCTAGAGCGCGAACAGCGCGTGGAATCAGCCAATCGATCCAACTGTAAGTCGAGAACTACACCCCCTGGAAGTAATTAATAACCCTTTGAATTCCCACCGAGCAGCTGTGGAGAAAAATCTGTCGCTGTGGCAGGAGATGATCAAGGGCTCGGAGGCTGGACAGAAGTGCTGTGTGCGGGCCAAGATTGACATGTCCTCGCCCAATGGATGCATGCGCGATCCGACCATCTATCGCTGTAAGAATGAGCCGCATCCCCGCACAGGCACCAAATACAAGTGGGTATCATCGTTAATTATGTCTCCTTGAACACCCAAAGAACCGGAACCCTCTCCCTTTCAGGGTCTATCCAACATATGACTTTGCCTGCCCCATTGTCGATGCCATCGAGAATGTTACCCACACATTGCGCACCATGGAGTATCACGATCGGGACGACCAGTTCTATTGGTTCATCGATGCCCTGAAGCTGCGCAAGCCGTACATCTGGGAATACAGTCGCCTGAATATGACCAACACGGTGTTGTCCAAGCGCAAGCTCACGTGGTTCGTAGACTCTGGCCTTGTGGATGGCTGGGATGATCCTCGCTTCCCCACTGTGCGTGGAATCCTGCGGCGCGGCATGACCGTTGAGGGCCTCAGGGAGTTCATCATTGCCCAGGGCAGCAGCAAGTCTGTGGTGTTCATGAACTGGGACAAGATCTGGGCGTTCAATAAGAAGGTTATCGATCCCATTGCTCCCCGTTACACGGCCCTCGAGCAGGATAAGCGTGTGATTGTAAATGTGGCGGGGGCCAAGCTGGAGCACATCCAAGTGCCGGTCCATCCCAAGGATGAAGCGCTGGGCAAGAAGACCGTCACCCTGGGACCACGCGTCTACATCGATTACGCGGATGCCGAGGCCCTCAAGGAGGGCGAGAATGCCACCTTCATTAACTGGGGAAACCTGCTGATCAAGAAAGTGAACAAGGATGGTTCCGGCATCATCACTTCCGTCGATGCTGCTCTCAATTTGGATAACAAGGACTTCAAGAAGACCCTCAAGCTGACGTGGCTGGCCGTGGAATCGGATCCCTCTGCCTATCCACCCACCTTCTGCGTCTATTTCGACAACATCATCAGCAAGGCTGTCCTTGGTAAGGATGAGGACTTCAAGCAGTTCATTGGCCACAAGACACGCGATGAGGTCGCCATGCTGGGGGATCCCGAGCTGAAAAAGTGCAAAAAGGGCGATATCATCCAGCTGCAGCGTCGCGGCTTCTTCAAGGTGGACAATGCCTATGCTCCGCCCAGTCCCTACTCAGGTGTCCCCTCGCCAATCATTCTGTTCTCCATTCCCGATGGCCATACCAAGGATGTGCCCACCTCTGGCCTTAAGATCAATGCAGTGGATGCCAAGTCAACGGTGAGTACTATATAAATGTGTGTATCTATGGGGAAAATAATTGAGATATCTATGGAAATTTTGTTAGTTTTTAAAGAGAAGGTAAATCCAAGGATCTACTAACTTTAATTATTAAGTATTTATGCTGTAACAGTATTATAATGTCCGTTCACCAGTCTGACTGTGGTCCGTTCAGGCCTTAACGATCTCTGATATTCTGATATTCCAAACATCTTCATTAATTTAAATGATTTTTTCTGAAGCAATTATCAAAACAACACTTTCTGTTTCTCTACTATTTTAAATGTTTCCAATCTTGCAATCCCATAAATTACTTTTGGTAGAGTATTCAAAGTGCGATTTGCCTGTTTCTTCACATTTGTTGTGTTCTCTCTCTCTCTCTCTCTCTCTGTGAACTCTCCACCTGTGTGCCGCCCTCTGCCGGAGTAAGCAGGTAATCTGTGCGATCGGCTGCCTCTCTTTCGATAGCTCTTGCCAGGAAAGAAGCAGAGCAAAGAGCTTCATTAATGCATTCCATTCCATTCCCACTTGCTGACGTATCCAAATATAAACAAACTTGTGAAAGTGGAAACCTATAGAAATTTCTTTACCTTGCAGAAAAAGTCATATTCGCCGGCAGCCACAACTGCACCTGCTGGAGCCGCCAACGAGAAAGCTGCTGAATTGGACAAACTGATTGGCCAGCAAGGCGATTTGGTGCGTGAACTCAAGACCAAGAAGGCGCCAAAGGAGCAAGTCGATGTGGAGGTGAAGAAGCTGCTTGGCCTGAAGGCGGACTACAAGGCTGCAACTGGCAAGGACTGGAAACCAGGACAGACAACCGCCCCAGCTGCCGCTACCAACGACGCGGGATCGGTCAATGCCGGCATAGTAAAGCAGGGAGAACTAGTGCGCGACCTCAAGAGCAAGAAGGCGACCAAGCCAGAGATTGACGCTGCTGTCAAGGTGCTGCTGGAGCTGAAAGCCCAGTACAAATCCATCACCGGACAGGACTGGAAACCAGGCACTGTGGCACCAGCTGCAGCTGCTCCAACTGCCAACGATTCGGTGGGCAAGATCTTGGTCCAGATCACGGCCCAGGGCGACAAAGTTCGAGACCTGAAAACAGCCAAAGCCGACAAGACCACAATCGACGCTGCCGTGAAGACGCTGCTCGCTCTGAAGGCGGACTACAAGGCAGCCACTGGCACCGACTGGAAGCCAGGCACCACAGCCCCAGTTCCATCACCGACTGCAGTCAAAGTCAAGCAGGAAAAGTCTCCGGAGCCAGCGACCCAGGCAGCCGTAAACACGTTGCTGACGAAGATCGCACTGCAGGGCGATAAGATCCGCGATCTGAAGGCAGCCAAGTCAGAGAAATCCCTGGTGGATCCAGAAGTCAAGCTGCTGCTGGCCCTCAAGACCGACTACAAGTCGCTGACGGGACAGGAGTGGAAGCCAGGCACTGTGGCGCCCACACCCGTGGCTACAGTAGATCTGACAGCAGGCGATTCAGACAACGATATTTCCTCCGTTTTGACAAAGATCCAGGCCCAGGGCGACAAGATACGACAACTAAAGTCGGCGAAGGCAGCAAAGGCCTCCATTGATCCCGAAGTGAAGACTCTGCTGGCCCTCAAGGGAGAATATAAGACGCTGAGCGGCAAGGATTGGACACCAGACGCCAAGGCAGAGCCCACAGTCGTGAAAAAGGAAGCCAGTCCCGTGGAGATGGCATCCCCAGCCAAGGATCAGCTGACGCTGGAAATCAATGCCCAGGGGGAGAAGGTGAGGGCGGTGAAGGGTGGAAAGGCAGCCAAGGAGGTGGTGGATGCGGAAGTGGCCAAGCTGTTGGCCCTGAAAGCCAAGTACAAGGAAGTAACCGGCACAGATTTCCCCGTGGCCGGACGTGGAGGCGGTGGAGCTACGAAAAAGGCACCCAAGGAGCCGCAACCGAAGCCGGCCAAGCCTGTCAAGAAGCAGCCAGCGGCGGATGCATCGGCGGGCGGTGCCAAAAAGCAGACGCGCTTGGGCCTGGAGGCCACCAAGGAGGAGAATCTGCCCGATTGGTACTCGCAGGTGATCACCAAGGGCGAGATGATCGAGTACTACGATGTGT